CCCCCCCCCCCCCCCTCTGTTCGCACGTTGAGCCGCGTTTTCCACGGGAAACGGTGTCGCAACGTCGGATCTTGCGATCTCTATCGCGGTTACAAGTTACGAAAGAGTGATTAACGACAGGGAAATTTGTTGAAATGACGCGGCGCGATACGATACTTTCGCGCATTCACCTTCAACGTGTCTCGTAAATTCTGTGACCGCGCGAATTTCGTCAGGATTCTCCGGGAACTCTCCGACAAACGACACAGAGTTGTATCGCTCGTGAAAATTCGGACGGGCGGACACAGTATTACCTTGTTACCAGTATTCGAAATCGGGAGGGGAACGTGGGGGAAAAAAAATCATGTCTCGCGGTTTTGATACGAGAGCGGCGCGTATCGTTTCGCCGGTCCCCCGGCGCCACGGGATTCTTTAATGCTAAGTGAAAAAAAAAATAGTTGTTTGCGCGTAGTTCTAAAGTGTGATATTCAAATCAATGCATAATCCGAAGGTTGACGCGTATCGAGCACGCCCCGATAGGCTCCCTCACCTTTCCCCGTTCACATACCAAGTTTTGCGCGATCGCCAACTCGATTAATCGGACATGCAGGGTTCATTTCTCTCACGATCGATTTATAGTCGAAACATAGTTGCAGGCGAGGCTCGCCGTGAAGCGAATCGCGAGCGTGACAGAGATACTTGCGTTAAGTTAAGAAGACAAATATGTACTGTAATTATATATATAATCATCACTTTTGCAGGCGAAAGTAACAAGAAATGAAATAGAAAAATTGCCTTTTCCTAGGTACGCGCGAAGCGGAAGAAACGCGGTCGAGCTCCAAATGATAATCCCTGAGGGAACTTACGCGTAAGCGTGGATTATTTCGCGTCTCTCCCTCACGGTGTCCCTTTTCTCCGTCGTGGATCCAAACATCGTGTGTGATGATTTGATCGTACTGAAAACCGGGAATCTTGTGTTAACTTTCGCGGAAAAATTTGCCGATATCTTCGCGGCTACTTCGGCAAGACGATCTATTTCGAATTATTAATCGAGAAGAGAATACTGAAAGATTGGAATATATCTTGGCGATATATGTATATATATATATATATATATCACGTATATATAACACGTTCCGAACGTTCACATCGGCCGGAAGATTTTCGCAGTATGGAAAAGTCCCGGACACCCTGAGTAGAGCGTTCTCGGCCGAAGCGACATAAAAGTCTGAGCCCTTTTATGTCGTCTTGGAGATAATCCGTGGTTACACGCTGCGTTGAATCAATCCTCGGACGTGCGTTTTGCGTAAAAAGAAAGCGAGAAAGAGCCGACGTGTTTCTTCAACGTGTGCGCGCGCGTCCGTTTTAATCACGGACGAATGTTATCGCGAGTCGTGGAAGGCGAGAGGAACGCTCGATTAATTCTGGAGTGTGTGCGGTTTTTTGCAAAAATATTCCGCTCCAGTTAACTTGATATGATGGGGGAGAAGCAACGGCACGTCGATGCTAGTTAAAGCACGCGTTGCGCTTATATTAGACAGACTCGCCATGTATGTATATTGGTGATTAATAACGCTGGTCGGTAAATCGAGAAATGCCGAGATAAGAATATATGCAATATCCCGCCGCGCTGCCGCCCCGAAGTGGGCTCCCTCAAGATAACGCGTCGTTTTACCGCGACTTTTCTACTGTTATTCGAGAGATCGTGTTAATTCCCGGCGGACTGCTCACACTACGTCGAGTAGTTTTCTCTCGGCGAGCTCACCGTTCCCGCTGATATTTACGAATTGTTAACCGAGATATGTGCCGCGCGGCACATCTACCCGCAGTTACGAGACTTTGTACACCACGAATCGCCGTCTGAAACTTACACGCGAATTATATCGTCTCCGATGTCTCGCGATCGACGTGTATGGGAAGTTTCGCGACGAGTGCACAAGTTTAGAGGAGATTCAGGGCACTTTCGGGTAAATTATACAGGCGCGTGTGCCGTCGGTCTTAAAATGATAACTGTGTGTCTCCTTTGTTACAATAATGATAATCATTGTTCAAGTTAAACTATTCAAACGTACGCGCAAATTATACATTTCTGCGATACTCACGTATTAATTAGCAAGTCGTATAGATGCAAAGTGTAGCCAAAGCTCTTTGTCGATGGCCGGACTTCCAAGACAATCGTTTTTTCGCTATCTGCTCGACGAATTTTCGGATCGACGATATATTCCAACACACACCCACACATTGTTGCACCGAATTGCACAGTGAATTTCCCGAAGATGTTTTGATTAAGCGTTCCTTTGGGACTTGTGAAGGGGGGGGGGGGGGTAAGGGGGGACTTTGGGGANAGAGGTAATGTCGGATAATAGGTAGCTCAGCGATTTTACATAAGCAATCTAGAATCTTCGTAGACGCAAGGACACACACACACACACATACGTACGATCGATACATGAACACATCCAACGTACACACACGCATCACACACGGTGTTTTAATATACGGTGCGAACCGCGATTTGTGATTGTGCCAAGAAATAGAGATATTTTTTATACGAATTGGTATATTAGCCGGTGAGCGGCGTTACAACTTATGGAACCGAACGAAATTTAGATTAGACAATCCGGTCGAAGGTAAACTATTTCGTGCATTGGTACAGACAGCGAATCGCAGAGACGCATTTTTCTCGGACACGAGCGCTCGTTCCGCGCTCGTGCTCCGAAAATGAAACGTCTTTCGTTTGAGGACAGCGCTCCAAGCTTTCTTCGCTGTGGAATCGCGTCTTCCTACTTCTTTTCTGCCATATACCTAAACAAAAAAATAAGAAAGAACACGAGAAAGGGAAACAACCGTTCCCCTTTCCGTTCACTAGAATCAAAGCTCAATGAATTGTTATGAATTTTATGGCGTTTCTTAATGGCGTGTGTGTAAAAAATAATTATTTGTAAAAAATAATTATTGTAAAAAATTACTGCGAATCTGTAACGACCATGCAATATCTTGTTATTCGGTACTGTTTCCACATATCGTCCCATCTTGAGTGCGAAAGCTGGGTCGGGTGAACTTTCGCGTAAATTCGCAGCCGAGGAACTCGAAGAATTCCTCTTGTTGCACATAACGTAATACGACAAATCAATTCAGAAACCGTCGAGACACTCCGACACGGGTAACAGAGTAATGAGAGAGAGAGAGAGAGAGAAGGGCGCTGACGAGAGTGAGAGATATTACAAGGAAGTAGTACACTTTTTCGAAGACGTTTTATTTTCTTCTCTTCTTCCTGCAATGGTTTTGATACCAAATGTTTTAGCTCGTATTTATAAAGATACACTTATGTCACTACGCAATGTATCGTTATACATAAAATATACGCGCGTTATATCATACGTAAATAAAAGGGAAAGAAAAGAAAACGCGTATATTTTCTAGGATATACGTAAACGTACAGGATGTCACGCATCGATTCGATACATCCTGTACACGTGCTATATATAATATGTACATACACGTATATATATATATATATATTATTATTATTACGACGGGATACGAACAATTAATGACGTTTGTAATACCACATTAATGAATGTACGACAAAATAATCGGTATTATTGTTGAGTTATGCATTCGGCGGCGAATGCCCGAAACGAAGCAAAACGACAAAAATTAAAAAAAAAAGATTAAAGAAGTATTAACGTTTTAAGGATCGTTACTGTTTGTGAACCTTCTTCTTTGTAAGACACGTGACAACGTTGTCGGACATGTAGAGGAAAGTAAGGAAAATAAAGTCGATTGTAACGAAACGTGCGCGTTCTTTTCGACGACGATCCTCGACGTGTTGTTCCGTTAAGTCTCTACGATTCGTAACTGTCAGTCGCTTTTCATTAATCGCGATTCAACTGTCGTAATCGGCTGTATAATTCGACGGTGCAAACATGGTGCGGATAATGAGAAGCGCGAGCACGAGGGTAAGAAGTAGTATAAAAAGAGAAATGGCGTATTTTATTCACGAGCCTTATCTGCTTGCAACAGAGTTATGTCGAGTATATGTATAAATATAAATATATTTTTCCTCTTTCGCCGAGATAAATGATCGCGTTGCACAATGTTCGTGACACTCGTTACAGCGGTATATATTACGTGTCGTGTGAAAAACTTGATGACGCGTACGGCTGGATTAAATAGTACACAAAACGTGGTGATGAATCGCGGAATACATTGCGTATACACCACGCGTTTGTCATTCTCCTCTTTCACGATACAACTCGTTCGTTACAACTCGATCTTCGATATTTAAGGTAGTCGGTCCGTGATAATATTGTTAGAGAAAAGTAATGGTCAATACAAACACACAAAGAAGCTCGACAAATCGGTACTAAATAGTTTATAAACATGATTTATGTGATATACAGCTTTTACAGCGTGAGAATATCAATCAAATTTACATAATGTTTGAAAAATCATAATGAAATCATTGTTTTTCGCGCATTTCTGGCACATAATATTTTCGGCTGGAACTGCCTGTGTAAGGTATACGAATATATCCGTATTTTTCCGTGTTTCCCGCAATTTTACGTGTGATAGATTCTTTTAATTATTTAATTATTCTATCTTTAAAAAGACGATTACACAGAGGGGAAATGTAGCGCGTACAATACCTGAAGAATTAGATCAACGATTTTGTAACTTTTTCTCATAATATCTCTACAAGTTCTTTTCTCGTTTTTCATTTAAAACCAGAAGAGCAATTTGATCGCTAGTATTAAAATATGATGTCGTTTTCGTGACACGTGTAAATATCGTTAATTTTGATTTCAATTCTTTCAGCACGATTTTCTAATATTACGTGTGCGTAAATCGATTAATGTGCGGAAAAGAAGGAAATCTGAAATTTACGGACCAATTACCTTAAAATGTGTGAAAAATAGAGGTCGACACATCGCGCCGACGTTTGTCCTCACTTACGCTGCACTTTTGGCGGTCGGCCAGGACGATCACGCGTAACGGTCCCGCGGCGCCTGCACCTTGATCCGCCGCTTGGAGTGAATGCGCGGCGAGCGCGACGTCACCCGAAACTCGAGCGGCAGATCGTAGCAACGGCATACGCAGCAGCTGGGGAATTTGAACCAGTCGCTGAAGATGCCGCGGCACTCGTTGTTCGGGTCGTAAGCCAGCAGCCGGTGCAACCTGTACTGCTGCTCGCATCTGCAGCCGTCCCGGCAGTACATTTGCTTGTTCTCGTTCCTGCGACAAGCGTGCTCTTCTCTAACCAACTCGCAAGAGATTCAGAATGAAATTCCCGCGAGAAATACTCACGTGCACTTCTCCCAATGAACATACTGTTCGAACGGATAGAGGTTCAGGAGGGCCAAGACCTCGCCGCGGGTGTTGTTGGCCCAGAACGGCGCAACTACCTCCTCCTTGACGGGACAGGCGTTTCTGCAATTGGCGATAAATGAATGATCTGACGAGTGCTTAATTTCGCGTTCCTTCATGAAACTATCCGCGAAAAGTTTCTTTCCCGGAAGAACCATTCGCGAAAGAAAGCCATCACTCAAGAGCGTTTGCGAGATCCTCTCGTTGGGAATACGTCGCGATATTTGTAAACGAGTCTTCGTGGCAAAATGAGGTGAAGGAGGCAATGTCATATCGCGAGACTACTCGCGGCCGTCGTACTCACACTCCTCGGAGCTTCAGCACCGTTTGTTCCTGTTGATCCTTCGCCGCGACGTCCTGATAAAGTTGGCCGCTCGACGTACTCTCGGCCGACGGCCGATACTCGGGACGCGGTCGGAATTGCTGCTCGTGGTTGCTCGAGGCGGCGACGTGTACGGTCGTCTTCGCGTCGAGCACATCCCCCGCTTCGTCCCCCGCGGCCAACAGCGATCCGCCGGTCGTGCTGATCGGCTCCAGAGTCGTGTTCACGACCACCGAGTGCGTCTCCTCCACCCCCTCGTCGATCCTATCGTTCTGCCCGGGGATCTCGTTGATGCTGAAATTCTGCTCCCTCACGATCTGAGCGACGGTGACGCTCGGTGAGAACGTCGTCGTGCTGTTTGCGACGTTCTCCTCGGCTGTTTCGATGGATGTGGTGTTTGGTGACGTCACCGGGGCTTGAGTGTCTTCCTCCGTGCTGGTCGCGGCGGTGGTGGACACCGTGGGCGTCGTCGAAGATGACGTACCGAAGGTCGTGGCGCTGGTCGAGCCATCGGTGGTTCGCTCGGTCGGCTTGAAGTGCGGCCTGGTGTACTCGCTGAGCTTCGGGAACTTGTTCAGCCGTTTGGCGATGGGATCGGCGTTGAAGGAGCGACTGGTGAAACCGCGACCCGTGTTGTCTTTCGGCAACGCCTGCCGCTCATCGACGAACTCGTAATCGTCGTCCTCATATTGCCTGAAAATTCGCGACACATGATTTACTCAGCGAGTGAGAAGAAGTATAAAACTAAAGTGAAGAAGATGGTTCGGAAAGTAGCTACCTCAGCTCGTCAGCGAAGTGATGATGATAGTCGTCGTATTTCAGCTCGACGTCATTCTTGTCGAACTCCGCTCTGAGGACGCTGATGTAACTCTCGTCGCCGTACATGCGTCTCATCAATCCCTGATTCTCCAGGACGAATCGACGCACCGCGTGCCTGCGAACGAGCACAAGTACTGACAAAGTGGACGACGCGAATCTTCGGTGGGAACTGATACTCCTTATTTCAGAACGTGACGGCGACGAATTAAAGAGGATCGCCTCTTTCGCACGCGATAATTGTCGAATCGAAGGGACGATCCCTCTATTCCATTTCACACGATCCTTTCGAGATTCAAACGAGACGCCATATACTTTCGCCATAGAATCGCGCGTGCGCCAACACGCGGGCGAAAGTTCAAGGAATATCAATTACGGAGCGGAAGAGGAAGCAGCGCGAAGTACCAAGGATAAGAGCTACCGGCGATCGTGCACCAGTTCTGCCGGCGAAAGTCACAGGGCAGATCCTCGTGGTGAGCGCGTCCCGCGCGCGAGTACGGCTTGCTGCACGCCGAGGACGCGTCGTATCCGAACGTGCTCGGGCCACCGCCTCGACATCTCGTCAGCTGCAGTGCTATCGCCTGAAACACGGAAGCAATCGAGAAGCTGACAGTGCGAGAGACAGAGAGAGACCGTTCTCACCTGAAGGAACACGAAGATCGCTCTCATAACTCGCTGGACCCGCCGTGCCGTGAATCCCGCGAACACTGGCTACGCCGGAGCAGCAACAACAACAACAACAGCGGCGGTAGGAGAGGAAAGGCGACTGGGGCGCGCGGCTACATGACAGCTTGCCTACCGTGTGCAAGCGGGCCGCTTTCATTACTGCCCGTAATCAGCCGCTCGCCCGCCCATGCGATGTGCTTCACGTGGAAAAAGTGTAGCCCGCTACGGGAGAAGATGCCATACGCACGCACGCAGTGGCGTGTCGGCGGTCGCCCCCGAGAAGAACAAATCGCTCGATCAGCCGGCGAAAGAAACGGATCTTGCGCGAACGATCGTCGCACGTACCCTTTTTATCGCTAACGAGAAGAAATTCATCCGGAGCGGAATTTTGCTCGGCTGATTCATCGGAGTGTATTTTTCCGGCCCGACACTTCTTTCCCGGGCCTGCTCGGTATTCGGCCCTGGATGGGAAAGGAGAGTCGGGGAAAGACGCGTGGAGAGAGGACGACTTCGCGGAGAGTAGGTCACGCCGACGAGTACCGTTATAGTTGCCATCGCCGATCTGTGTCACGAGGACCCCGCCAGTGACGTAGCCTGGACGACTCTTGGACGGGAAAGAAGACGCGGAGGGAAGCTCTTCAGACGGCTCGCCGAGAGTAAGCTTCCTCCTACGCCGCTGAGTGCGTTCCCACCGCGTGTTCAGAAAAAGATGCTGCGACGCTCGTAAACGCGATTTAAGGTTTACTCGTCGAGCGCGCGCGGTCTACTGACCTCGAAAGCACTGTCACTGGACGGGCTCTTCTTTCACTGAATTTCCTCGCTTTTGAATCGGACCACGCCGATAATCCGGGCTCTTCCTGCACTGCCTCTGCTGGAAGGATAGATTTCAATCAATCAACGAAGATGGAGGAGTTTCGATAATCATTTGATTAATTCTCGCGAAATAATTGTCACGAGCTCTAATTTATCACCTGTCTTGCATTTTCGAGAGGAAGTGACATTTCCAGAACGGGAATCGATTTTAAGCATCGAATATCAGATCTTGCGAAAGAAAAGGATATCGACTACAATCTTTGAGTAATTAGAAGAGATCAATAACAGCCGGCTAATTAGCCGCGAAATTACAAAAATCACCAGGCTTTCAATGAATCTAACGTTTCGATCCTCCTGAGTGAAAATTCCTGACCATTCATCGCCGAGCGCTTGATAGGCGTTAATCCGCGGCGTATTTGTGACGCCATCAATTAAACGCCATACCTAGAACGCGACTAGAGACGTGCGGTAACAGGCGCGCGCGTAACCCGTTAGCTTGAATAGCATTGAATTATTGGAGCATCGTTTTGCACGATTACTGGTTGGCAAAATACCAGTTTGCCGCGATACGGAGGCGGCGCGCCGGTTTATGTCTCGTGGAAGAAAAGAAAAGCACCGCGGCGTCGCCTCGCATTAATTCCCGGCAGCGTCGGTTGCTTTACGGAACAAGCCGAAATACTCGTTTCGTAGAGAAACATTCCAACGACGCGACACCGAATCGCTCGAGAGATGTAACACCGGCTTTCTCAGATAAACCAAGGGACCAAATTGAAAAACCTGTTTCACTCGAAAGTAGGAGGACGGTGAAAATCGGAACTTACTAACCCGTACAGCACTCAAGGGACGTCTTGAAATATTTCATCGGATAAAGTATGGAGATTTACAACCGCTTCCTCAATATTCTGCCAAATTCTACATTCCTAAATTTTGGCAATCGCGGATTCTTTGCCGAGCAAGGGCTTTGTTCGAGCAGAATTTCAATCTAGCTGCCAAGATAGACAATCGAGAGCGCAAAACGCACATTTCCACCCCCGATCGCTACGCGTTACTACCAACGGCATCTGGACCGATACCTTGCAACTCACGGGTGAAGAATCATCTTCAGACAATAAATCGAAAGCACACACAATCCGACGATCCACAGCAGATGGCGCCTTTAACACTCTCCTCTCGCAGGTTTACCTGACGTCCGACAGAGTCCGCTCGAAGAAGCTTTCCAGATTGGTTTTGCACCGGTTTTTCGCTTCGTACTCGTCGTATAAATCATTATGGAAACGACAATTGCGAGCCGCTCTCCTCTCCTCTTCTTCAGCCTCTCCCCCCTTCCCCGCTTTCCATGACCTAACACTCTCCATCTCTCTCTCTCTCTACATCTTCTTCTCTATTCCGTCTCAACCGCTGCTGTGGCGTCTTAGCTCTCTTTCGACAGTGGTGCTCCGATTTTTTCCCTGCCAAAATCCAGCCTCGAGCTACCGCTGAAATCATATTTCGCTGCTGTAAATACCGCAATCGCATCGCTCGTTCTACAAGAGGCTCGAATTTGCATTGCGCGCATAAAATCTCGAATTAAAAATTAATCTAAGGGAAGGGAATTTGGAAAATCGTCCATCACCATATTGTATTGTTTCCTTTCGCGTGTCCCTGCTTCCAAAAAAGAAGGAATCATAGGTTCTCCAGAACGACCGAGTAAATCGCATTTCGTGTAAAAATAGACTGCGTTTCTTTCACGAACATTTTCAATTCTCTCTTATTGTCCCTCAACTACCATTGTACTGTTGGTATTGTCGCCGTTCCACGATTTTTTCACGATTAGCATTTTTCTTCACCCTTGACGCCACGAGGAATTCGTAGTCGGATTTACCATTCCTTTATAATATTTAGCACATAGCGATAAGGTAACGTCCAAAATTCGAAAAGTGCTCGGAGCGTGTCTGTTAAACATTTGCGTTATCTGAAGAATAAACTCAATGAAGAGATAGCCCAGTAGTCGCAAGGACACGGAGCGCTCCACCATCGGAAAATTTATGCGGACACTGCATAAATAATCAGAAAGTTTTACGTGATCTTTAAATATTAAAGCAATTTGTACACAACAGAGACTGCTCTCAATCCTTTGCGATGTGTTGCATTTCTTAGATTTACCGACGACAGTCTCGCCGTGTCTTTAGAGCGGAAAATTCAAGCTGCTAAAATTATAATTACATCATTATATTTGCAACTGTGTGCAGTTAAAGAAGCGACGCCGCTTTCGGATTATTTCAACGCAAATGAAATAACGAAATGACGCAGTTTTCGTGGACGAACCACCGCTACGGAAGCTTCTCTATATCTCGAGACGCTGTGGGAGAAAGATAAAAGAAAAAAATGAAGTTCAAGGTCACCGCCCGCTATTGCGCAATACGATCGGCGCTCCGCACCTGAGAATTCGTTACGTACAACAATATTCGAGCGCGTTTTTCAGCAAACGGAATTTTGTAATATCAGGTTTGACGAGAAATCATGTCGCTTCTTATTCCGAGTTTGCAAACGAAATTCGTGATCGCGGAACCGAATCGAAATAATAAATGTCATTATTTCCAACGTCCGCGCGAATATTTCTCCCGTCGCACGAAGGAAACGCCAGAACTTGGTCGACATTTGCTTTCTTTCGTGGAAATGCGCTTCGCTCGAGAAAACTACATCGTCTTCCGGTAGGAAAGCAGGTATATGTCTCATTAATTTAGCGAAAGACTTGTCCAGAAACTTCTCGACCGCTTGAAAATCGCATCTTTCTTTGTTGTGATCCCCGACGCCTTGGGAAAAAGTATCCCTTCTCCCCCTGCCGCATCGTGAACCCCCCTAACCTCGGAGCGTTAAGGGCTTTACCGTGCAAGAAGAGGAGAGAAAGACGAGCGAGTGAGACGAAGCGAGAGGAAGAGAGAGAAAAAGAGAGATTTACGTGGAAGGCCTGAAAAGGGGAGGGGAAGCGGTGGCCCCCCTCTTCGAGAATGCTCCTACCGGAGGGGCCGGTAATGCCGTTCCCCGAGCGAACGTACCACTCTTCCTTGCGACTCGGTGGACGACGTTAGTGCTCGAAGACCGAGACGACATCTCCGTCGGGATTCAATGTGACCTCGGCCAGATGGAGACGACCGATCGCCCCCGTCCAGCGGCCCTGGATGGGTTTGAATTCAGTCCACGTTTCACGTTTATACGCGTGACTAGATCCACACTCATCCAAGGATACTGGACCGATATAGGCGAGAGAAAAGAAAGAGGAAAGACTGTGCGCGCGGAGACACAGGCATAACGGCGGCAGCACCTGTTGTTTCTCCTTCTCTTCATCTTCTTCTCTCCTCCGGAGGCTTCTTCTGGGAAAAGTGATACGTGCGAGGTAAACGAGAGGGACGGAGAGAAGACTGCGAAGAGAGATAAACGCTCCGAAGCGAGATAGTTACCGGTCGCAGGCGAGGTCGCGATTTCTCGGATCCTCCTCACGGATTCGAAACCGGTATATAATGATCAACGTGCGCGCGCGGCCGACACAATGCTCAAATGGCGTCGCGACCGATTGCACTTTCTACACTTGATCTCTATCGCGCGCAAAGAAAGAAGAAAGAGCGGAAAAGTGCAGCTGAGACAGAGTTCAAAATTAGCGCTGAATGTACGCGTATGACGAGTATTTTGTCGCGCCCATAATGGAAATTTAAATGATCGCTTTGTCGCTGGAAACTTCCCTCTTCTTCTCTCTTTCCCCCCTCTTTCGAAGCGCGCAAATTCGCGCGTTACGCTTCGTCCCTTACCCCCTTTGTACTCGATAACGCTGACGCACGAGGTGCGTACACACATGCAAGATTTGTCGCGCTTTTATAATTATGTATGTTAAGACAATGCGGGTTTACACATGTATGTATATTCGAGACGCGAATACGCTGATGAAACCCCCGTGCATTCCTCAGATCCCAATGGCCGTGGGATTCCCTTTCAGTTTCTTTGTGTATGAACACCTGCCGCGTTTCCCCTCCCCCTTTTGCTTCAACAATCCCGCCCTTAACCTCTTCCCCCTCCTCCGACCGCCCGCCATCCTTCCCGAATAACGGTAAAAACTCGTCCGTACCCCCGAACGAGCGAGAATTTCCTTCTCCGTATGCCGGAGTGAAAAATCCTGCCGGTTCTATCATTATTGTGTACACACACGCTTCTTATAAAATAAATAACTATAATATACAGTTCGTTTTTGTGTTTGCTTATATTACTTTACTTTTTACTTGGATAAATAAGTTACATATATATATAGTTACATGTATATTTATATGTATGTATAATATATATATATATAAATATACGCGTTGTGTAAGACATTGCTGACTATTTGTGTTGAATGTATAATACAAGTCGTATTGATCGTGAAATAAAAAATATCACAATTCATACCTCATCTGAATCGTTTGCACGGAACGTGACGGTAATGCGAGTTTTACTATTTAGGCAAAGGTTCGTGTGATGTAGCTTGACTAAGTATCTCGATATGTACGCGATATTCAAATTTATATCAATTGGAATAATCCGCACCGTGACTACAGAAGACGCCTTAATCACGGAGATATCGAAATTATTGTAACGCGCGTGCTTCATGGCAGGTGAAAATTCGGCGGCCGCCGATCCTTTAGAGTGCGCGCGGGTAGCGTGGACTCGAATTCTCCTTCAGTTCGCACACAATAATATTCCTACAGTCTGTATCAAGTGCTCTGCGAGCCCATGCTCAGTTGGGCTACGCACAGATAGTCCTCCTCCTCCTCTTCTTGCTGCTCCTCCTCCTCCTTCTGAGCGTCCGGGTTCTGCGACATGTCCGATCGGATCTCCTCCAAGGCTTGCTTGATCTGAGCCTGCAGCTGTCCGGCCACTTTGCGCACCGCCGTGTGATTCTGCTTGATCTGCTTCGCGTAGGCGAGCAGGCCGTTCCACGGAGAGGCGCTCGTATGCGCAAGATAGAGCTCTCGGCAGAGTTGTATACTGATGGGCGCGACGCTCGGCCAGATCACCCCCGGATTTGGCTCGTACAAGGGATTTATCCACTGCTCCAGGACGTCCGGCTGATTCATGTACGACCAGAGACTGTAAGTCCGCTCAGACAGCCGTAGTTTGATCCTCTCCGCTTCCGAATCGCCTGAAGAAGAAACACAGCGGATGGTATAAACGATACAAGATTTTATATTTAAGACCATCTAAAAGGCCGTTCTTCAGATATATTCCGTAGCTTTGTGAGGATGAGCTTTCTTGAGACGATCTTCAATATTTGAGTATGCATAACGCGAGATTTTACACACCTAAGAAAGTACCGTAGTTGGAGGAATAGGCGTGCTTGTGCAACTCGATGAGCAGATCCAGCGTGTACTCGAAACTGAATTGGAATTGATGATGCAGCTGGTACAGGCAGTCGAGGAAGAGGAGGAAAGTCGGAGCGTGCGTCGGATTCTGCGAGTGCGACGGCTGATACGCCCCGGAACGGGTTCGGCTGAAAAACTGATGGCCCGCTTGCAACCACTCGCGCTCTATAAGCGCCTGAAGGCCCCGTACAGTCCGGCAATCGGGATTCAGTATCGCCTGGGCCAAACTGGTCACCACCAATGTAGAATCTCTGCCCGCGCCGCCTGTAATTCAGAACGAGAGGTTTCGCGAATAATAATACTCCGTGATATCTCCTCGAACGGATATCGGACGCGCACCGTGCACCAACACAGCCGCGACTTCTTGATGCAAGCATTGCGCGGTGACGCAGGCGGCATCTAAAGCGCTTTGCACGGCGGACAGCCAGCCGCTACTGTCCAGCCTAGACAGCCACTGCGAGGTGGAGCTGTTGACGTCGTTGCAAGCCTCTATCAGCTTGAAGAAACTGTCCGCCAAGTCGTGCGGCCGCAGCACCGGCTTGTGTACTTTGCGCCACTGCGGGTAAGCCGTGTCCATTTCCGTGCCTCCACCTCGGGCCTTGGCGCTTATCGCCTGATTCACCGATCTGGTGTCCACGATGTATCTGTGGAGAGAAAGCGATAACAGTACTGGGCGAACGCAATATGTACATGTGTGTCGTGTACCCTCGTCTTCCGGGACCTAGAACCGCGTTCAACAGTCTCTCGTCCTCCTTGCATCTTTTGCCAGTGGCACCGAACAGCGGCTGGCTGCTCCTCAGCAATATGCTCTGCAATCGATCGACTCGAGTAAACGTTACGTAGATCGTTACGTTGTCGTAATATGCTTACCCCGCCCTCGTATCTGTAGCACAAAACGGGAAACCTGCCGCCGTCTCTGAAGCTAGCGGAGGCTATTATAACTTTGTCGTCTATCTGGCGCGGCACTATGACCGCCGACGGGTACGAGTTGCAAACTTTGTAATCTCTGTTTAAATAACTGATGCGCCACTCGTCCGCGTGTGTCGCCAATAATATGGACCACTCCGAGACAGGCGCAAACGCCGTCCATCCATCCTCTATTTGTACCATAGCGTTGTTGCCTGGTCGATAGAAGAACGGATATTGCAGAGTTTGGTCTGCAAGAGCGAGAAGCAGATCAGGAATAATTCGTCAAACGATAGCAAAGTTGCTTAATCGATTTACCGAGCGATATCAGCTTCTCTATAGATAATACGGCGTTGGTTAAGTCATTGGTGGAACTAATGTCTAATTGAAGGATCTGAAAGTCCTTGCACTTCAATATTATGCTACCACCGGGGCTCTGAGTGTTCAACTTCTTCTCCACAACGTCGATGTTTCGGTTCATCAGCTGGATGGGAAGGAGAAAAAAACCACTGTCAAATTGTCCATCGACTCGGCTCGCTCGTTCGTGCCTACCCAAAGCTCCTGGCCGTCGTTTTGTCTGGAGGACAAAATAAGATGGTGACCACTGATGCACAGTGTCCCATCCAGGTTCTTGTTACTGCCATTACTCTTGTCAGTTAACACGACATTATCGACCTGTGGAATTAATATGTTATCGCCGATATGGTCGCCCATCGTAGTGCTCTTTACAGTAGCGGGGAATACGATGAGTCTCCTCCCGTGGAACTACCAACGACACTTTGACAGCACAACATAACCTAGGCGAGCACTGTCACGACGTGGTTCCCGAAGCATCCTCTCCCTCCGCGATATCAACTATTCTTTGGTGGTCGATCGCGCGACAGTCTCATCAGTTGCGATCATTCACTTCGTTCGGACTAGACGAGGCTACAGCTGTCGTACGAGTGTTTACTACCTCCGTCCATTCCTCCTGAACGATATCCTTCGTAACAGCACGGAGGGGGGAGGAGACGGAAAGAGAGAGGGCGGTTATGTTTCGCACACCACGTGACCAGGATCACATAACCTATTAAACAGGGGCGAAAGGGTGTATGAGAAACTCGCTCGTGTTAACGTATAAAGGAACGTCATCGCGCGACGTCGGCATCGATTACGGCATCGAAGACCGCGACTTACACAGTCGTTATAACCGAAGACGGAGCGTCGTAACCGAACGTTGGCAGCCAGGACGAATCTTCGTGTGTCGTGCAACGTCTTCGAGGATGACAGCCTCACCGCTTTTCACAGGAAGAAACGAAGAACGTGCTGCAGCGAACAATGGAAGCGGGTCTAACCTCGTGCCTTGCTGTCGGGCCTATCGGTTTCGTCGCAGAAACGATAACCGGAGCAAGTGACGTGTTATCCTCTAGTAAGCGATAGATCTCCCTTCGGCCTCGAACTTCCTCCATACACAGAAATAAGATTGACACGTTAGGGCAAAGAGGGAATGGAAGGAAAGTTGGCAAGGAAAGGTTAGAGAGAAGATTATTTGCGTATCGATGTTCATTGCAGCGTCACGTTAGACAAACAAAGTCGAATGTTTACGTTCTCTGCATAAATCTATCTCCCTCTCACTTTCTTCTTATCAACAGCCCAGGCGTGATCGCTACGTCGTGAGGGATATCGTCGCCGAGAGATGACGCCACCGGTGGCGGGCAAGGCTGGCATCGTACGAAGAGGAGGAAGGCTTTCCGACGTGAAGTCGTGCGAGTAGGTGAATGCGGTTTCGTCGGTTCTGTCCTCTCGTATTCACTAACGTTGGCGGTCTGTTAGGACCAGAGAGGTGAACGCGAGAGCGGAGGTCGAGGATGCTCTGAGGCGCCGTTCTGTCTTGACTCGGAAGGCACGCATCATATGCGAGGTTTGTCACAAGGTAATGCTGCTGTTTATGTTCACCATCAATGATATCTCGTGTACACTTGTATGCTTTCACGAGCAGTATACCGCGTGGCTCTAGACGAGCGATAACCACTGTGGGAGCGCTAATAACGCGCCACAACGTCTCTTCCCCGGGTGTATATTGTAGCCTGCTGAATAAAACTGTTACTTAACTGTTACAACAATTGTTATTATTCTGGGAAATTTCACAGACAAAGAGAGATTTTAGTTTTGCTTATCTTCTTTCTGTGTATGTTACCGAAATAAATATATGTGTAACATAGCAATACTTGAGCTATTGTACAAAGTATATGATATTGTGGTATATTTTTGATCGTGCGATTGTATAAATATATGCGAATTTAGACTAGACTCGTACATTTTTGTCACTCCAATGCAAGATCACCATTTTGAAATGTTAACCATGTTGCGTGCATTTGATTGAAGCGGATTGCCAAAGGTAAAATGGCGTCCAGTGAACAAGCTGAAGATCCTATGATGCCTCCTACAGTGGATGTAAACATTTCTCGGTCAAAAATAGACGAGGAGGGATCATCAATTACTTTATTGGCCAACGAGGACAATGAGTCGTGTAATGCTGCTGCTGATGAGGAAGTGACGAAAGAAGCGATGTCAGAACAGAAGGGACAGAACAACGCAACGGAAGAAAGGAAAGATGATGTAGAACACCAAAGTAAACATGATTTGAGGTCACAGATAACCGATAAGAATGAGCAGAAAGAAGACGTAAGAGGAGTAAAGCAAGAAACGGGGAGCATGTCTCCGGAACATCTCCAGGACGATACGAAGGATCCCGCTAGTAACGAAGATGATTCGGTGAAGAGTGGAGCTGCTTTGAGGCGGAAACGGAAGAGCCAAAGGCGAGTATGATACATCGTACTCTCGCTGTGCACGCAGCGATCCATGTAAAGACGAACGTGTTAACAGTTCCAGCATTTCGCCAATGGATTCTCCCATGGACGAGAGCGGCGTGAGAACCAAGAGGAAAAAGCTGAAGAGCACGAACGACAGATTCTGTTGGCGGTGTCACAAAGAGCCCGTGGACGTTTACTGCACCGCTTGTCCTCGCTCGTGGCACCGCAAGTGCATAGGCGGCACGCCGCCCTCCCCGCAGAAATGGATATGCGGGGAGTGCGCGACCATCTTGACGGCCGAAAACGCCGAGACCCGTTCCACGGCCATGGCCCAATTGTCGGTGGATCAGTTGTGCATGTTGCTCAAATACGTGGTCGAGAGACTTCGCGAATACCCTGGTGTACGTGTCTTTCTTCTTTTTTTCCTTTTTTACATCATGCGCCTTTCATTACTTGCATGTACTTTCGATGCAGTCCGAACCATTCTGCAAGGCGGTGGATCTGGACGAAGTGCCGAATTATTTGGATTATGTCATCAAGCCGATGGACTTGAGCCTTTTGGAGTCCAATGTGCGGTCCAAGCTCTACGGCAGCACGGATGCGTTCATGGCCGATGCCAAGTGGATCCAACACAATTGCATCGTTTTCAACACGTGTACGTGAGCTCTTTGTATATTTTTCAGATGGTTAATCGCACGAAAATATCGCGTGTCTCGTAAGACGTAGAAAATCTACGGTAGAATCCGTTTGACAACGGCCCATCCGATAGGCCGCCTAGGTAGATATATGTATTTCGTAGAGATAACAAGTATACTTGGGTCGAAATTGAGCGCGGTAGAAATTCTCTTGTATTCCAACATTTTCAGGTGGCGGCGTTTATGCGGATACGTCAAAGCTAACAAATGCCTCGAAGCAGATTATCAAAGTAGCACGCTCTGAGGTTTCGGAGATCGAAGCGTGTCCCGATTGTTACGCGCACGGCCGGAATCTGCCCCGGCCCCAACCAACCTGGTTCATAGAGCCTTGTCGTCGACCGCATCCGCTCGTTTGGGCGAAGCTGAAGGGATTCCCGTTTTGGCCGGCGAAGGCGATGCCGCGCTTGAATTCCCAGGGTTTCGTCGATGTGCGTTTCTTCGGCGAACACGATCGAGCATGGGTATCTCCGAAGGATCTCTATCTGTATTCCGAAGAACCACCGGCGCCGTCGCCGCGTAAGAGGAAGTCCGACATGGACGAATGCGTTCGCGAAATTACACGCCACTGCCGAAAATTGGAGCTCATGTTCGGCCAGTTCAAATTTGCACCGTCCAAGGTGCAGTACAATCCGAATGATCCGATGCAGATAACGCTGATGTTGCCGAATTACAATCCCATGGATCCCAACAACCGTTTGGTCAACGTCGAATCTTTCGACTCAAAGAGAAGGCCGCCTCCGAGGAAACGGAGTCTGAACAAATCGCTAAACGACGGATTGGTTAACGAGATCAAGGAGGAACCGAACTCCTCGAAAAACAGCGTAGACGGTGATAACCAGGAGGAGGAAGCTTCGCCGCTGGAAAAAGTGCAAAAATTAGATCCCAACGTCGCTAAAAACAACCCGCAGAATAATTTAAACGGTAATCACAGTAAGTTAAGTGAGAAGGTGGACCAAGAGGTCGGTCCATCAGTTGCTCAAAACAAATCGGCGAAGGACGGAGCGAAGAGAGTGAAGACGCCGTTGGTGAAAGGCAACAACGGGCCTAACAGGACCGTATCGGGTAATCCTCAGAAAGTGAAGAATGACGCAAAATCAGAGCAGTCGGCCAAACCGCCTCGCGAGTCGGCCGAGGTAAAACGAATGCGGAAGAGAAGCTCCGTGAAAAATGCCGTCTCTCCCAAACACGAGGCTTTGCAGAACATGCTAAAGTCGCCGGCGAAGAACGCCGCCAAGAGCAGTTTGTGCAAGACGTACAAGCCGAAGAAGCAAATGGTCGACAAACTGAACGCGGAGCAGGCGCTCAAGTCGGTCTCCGCGAGCAAGGAGAACGACCGACTGACGAGCGGACCGGCCATCAAGAGATCGGGCAGCGGCAAGGCTGACCCGGCTAAGAAGAAAACGGAAATCGATGTGACGCCGCCGGCCGGCCCGTTGAAAACTTTCCCCAGAATCGAGCCTCGTCCCGTCGTCCAGTCCGTGAATCTTCAGGGTCCTGTATCCTTCACGAGCGTCGATCCGAAGCCCGTGTTACTGCTTATGATGAACAACAGCGGTACGCCAGCGGAAGTCGCGAAGCAGCAGACCGTGACGATAATGACGGATTATCCGGGGAACAAGGACGCGTTAGTGACGCTCCAGCGGGAAGCGAAGGAGACGTCGCCGCAGAAGAAAGAGAGCAAGGCCAAGAAGACGTTCCCGAGTAGTAAATCGCGCACCGGTTCACGCACGACGGTATCGACGACCGAGTCCACAACTCAGCTTCCCAAGTCTAACACGAGCTCCAACACAGCTTCTAACACAGCCTCCAACACATCCTCCAGCACATCCTCCAATACTTATCAACTGATACCGCCGGAAGCCGGGCCGATCACCGCGCGTCTGCATCACAGCGCGCAGGAGCTGGTGCGCAGGATGGGTCAGCTGATGGAGGAGGCGTACAAGGAGGCGGCTGAGGCGGGAGACGGCAACGGCGAGAATGGCACCGCCGACAATTATCAAGCCACCATATTTTTCCTGCGTATGCAAATCGAGCATATGAAGTGGCAGCATCAGCAACAAATGGCTGAGCTGAAACACAACGCCGGTACGTTTTCTGCGCGTAGTTCCGCATTTTCTTCGAGTCCCTTTTAACGAAAAGTCTCTCCTTCCGAGAGACGCGACAACCTTCTCGTTTTACGCCTGAACAGGCGTAAAAATTCGTTAAAATTTTTCTCCTTGGTAACTGTGTTACCATTCACTGCAATAAGTGGTGTAAAAGAGAATTGTTAGAAAAGGGAGTAGATTGCGCTGGAGGCACAAACGACGTCGTCAATTTCAGATCGCACGATGCGCGAGATGCGAGCGAGTATGGAAGCGGAGAAGCTGCGGTCAGTTCAGGAAGCGCGCCGGGAAGTCGAGGAGGACAAGATGCGGTGTATCGAGGAGACAAAGCGGAAGCAGTGGTGCGCCAAGTGCGGACAGGAGGCGTTGTTCTACTGTTGCTGGAACACCGCGTATTGCGACTATCCTTGTCAACAGTTACACTGGCCGATGCATATGCGGACGTGCTCGCAGAAACCGGCGTTCACCACCATCGTCACCTCCAGTTCGAACTCGCAAGCGCAGGTGATGCCCAGACTCGTGTTTAACGCGGCGTCGGGCTTGTGGAAGGCCTAGAGTGGATTGGTGTAAGTCCCAGCCAAGTCGAGTTCGAAAGAGTACCGTAAGAACACATGCGTCACGTTTCTTTCATTCCGGTGCTGTCTGTTTTTCCCGTTTGGACTAATTGATGCGTTAAATATCGACAACACGATGAAACGTGCCAAACAATCGCGACTTTCCGAAAGCACCGTTCGTGTCTTCTCGACAGTCACATCGACAGTAGAAACGGCATAAAAGGAAAAATCAATGTCGTCATGATTTTCTCTTTGCTTATCTTCTCTGCTACAGATAAAGTAACGGCGAAAATTGCTCGTAACTGCTCAGAACAACACGTTGGCAGACGTCGTCCGTTGCGCTTGAATTACGCGAACAGGAGATACATTGTAACAACGATATCTATCACCGATTGAATTTATTGCGGTGACAATTTTGACTTACACTATTGACGCTCTGGACGCTTCGAAGTTGCTCCCCAAAGTTGTTCTCGCGACTCAATCGTAAATACGCACATCGCACCGTCCGTCGCGTCTCCTACAGATGCCGCGATAACTTAAAAGTACTTCCTCCTACTTTGCAGAACGATAACATCGTGCAGGATCCCCCTCCTGGCAAGGTATGCGCTCTACAACGCAGCAAATTGAGCGGAATTTCATCGTCATGGTCTACTTCGTCCCTAACAAATAAGGCTAAGCAAGATTCGCTCTAGACGAATAGTTTCTCTTTCTTTCTGTTTTCTATTTATGACCGTACGTCGGAAGCAAATTCGGTGACGGCGCGGATAAACGCACGAATACCCCGTCTCTCTCGCGAGTGTGAAGTGACATATGAGTGCGACACAAGCTCTGATAGGAATCGTTTGTTCCTTACGACCGAGAAAACGTGTGTATAGCTGGTCTCTTGTGAAGGGGAGGAGGTATGTTTTCAAATGTGCAATGTAAATTGCACAGCGTCTGTGCAATTTTGACGCGTCATTAGTGCTCCCTGAGCGATTAAGTTAAGAGCGACTCGAATGTAGCGATATATGTTTCGGTTAAATATTTTCAGTAACTTGCGGTATTATGAAATTATTTCGTACAAAATATGGCACTAAATGTTCTTATGATACAATAATTGTCAATTTTTACACATTCGCTACCACGGCTCATTTCGACCTGGTTTCTTTTATTATATATTTTTTATATAAGAATGGGTTATATATATATATATTATATAATAATGGGTTATTAACAATTATTTTTCATAAGAAACAGGCTTTGTTTGTGCTGACATGGAAGAAAAAATTGTCAAAAACATACGTGAACTCTCGTGCAAAATCACTGTTACACGCATATGGATCCTGGTGGTGAATGTGTTAATCGTTTCGTTGCCGGAATTTGCTAATGTACGATTTATATTTGCTTCGTAGTTACATAATTTGTACAATTTTTCCGCTTATCCTCTCTATGCCACATTCGTTCGGAGCGCGTCGGAACGCTTCGGAGAGTAAGAGAGACGAAAATTATTTTTTCAATAAAAGAATTCCGCAACGGAAGGCGCACACACATACACACACACACACACACACAATACATACGAACTATCGAGATAAGACAACTGACGTTCTTGTAAAGAATGATAAGCAATTGTAAACATTTATTTTCTTTGTCGTGACAACTTTTGCGATTAGAATGAAATGTGTAATTATATGAGGATGATTTTATAAGTCCATCCGAACAACAAATATCTCAGCGCGTTTATTAATAAAATCAATCAGCAGAAATATTGTAATTACGTGTTGTATGACCACGCTGTATCCCTCGGCAAGATGTCGGCGACACATGCCAGTATTTTTATCGTGTCCGCCTTTTAAACTTGAAAGGAAAAAAAATGATCCCTTCAGATTACATTATCGATTTGCGCGAAATGACTTCTGAAGAAAGAAAAACCGGATGTGTGAGCGATATCTCGGAAATCATTCTTCTTCGCGTACGTCGACACGATGTGTGTGTGTGTGTGGATTACGTAATCGAGTGAAACGACATTTCAAGTTTCGCGCGTGCGAGACAGCCCGTTCCGTCGCAACATGGCGGACGGAAGTAGACGTCACCCAGTGCCAACTGCCAGCCAACGGGGCTCCGTCGGGCTACTCTTTTTATGGGAGGAAAAGCACTTTTCTCCGTCCCCGCGGCCTCCGTACGCTTTTTTCACATTGGGTACGTGAAAGCGCCGGCGGCGAGCTAACGGACCTTCTTCTATCGTCCTTCTCGAAACGCGCGCGACCCTCGGAGGCAGTTGGCCGTCAAATTACGTCCCGACGGTGACTCGCGAGAGACAAGAACGGAAAGAGAGAAAAAAAGAGGCCGACGTAGCGAAAAATAACAACTGTTTAGTGTCAGTGGGCGAGAGACGACGAGAGAAAGAGAGGAGAGTTCGGTGAGTCGTGAATCTTCGATCAGTCAATTGTTCATCGATCATACGGCTGAACGGCGAGTCGTGAATTCCACGTCTCGTTCCGTTTCAACTGCACTCTTCTACACCTCTCGCGTATATAATTAGAAGAGCGCGGATCTAGGCTGAGACGAAGGCTGCCGGGAACACGGTGTAGAAAAGTGCAAACGAGTGTGGAAAGGTTCGGTGGAGCGATGAGTGCGCGCGATATTTCGCCGTGACGACGAGGACGACGCACCGGGCTCCCCGTACCGAATACACCTCTTGCCCACCCTGGACGCGCGAGCCAAGGTCGCGGAGAGTGGATTTAAAAGAATCAGCCGTATCGCGCGCGCACGGTCGGTTCACGTTGGCAGACGGTGATCTTGTTTAACTTACCTTATTGTTGCAGAGTCATTCGTTATTTAACACACGCACGAACGCACGGTGAACGTAGCGTAACAATCTCGCAGCTACAAATATGTTTATTTGGGACTGGTTCGCCGGAGTGCTGAATTATCTCGGTGAGTAGCTGCGGGGGGGGNGGGGGGGGGGGGCATTAATGTTCGCCCCGTGATCGATGGGAAGCTTGCTTGAAACGAGCACAGGAATTTCATCATAACGCCGTGATTTCAAGTCGCGACGACGTGAGATGTCGAGAGATGACAAATATGCATACTGCATCGAAGGTTTCATGTGTGTGACTAGGGTCATTTTCCTGTCACAGTTCTCTTGAGATGACACTCTATCGTTGAGAGAAATTTTTACTTTCTTTGATGTAGAATTGATTTTTTTTTTCATGTAGAAGCAATTATACTGAACAAAGAGCTTTGTTTCACTGGACTTTTTGTTAAAACGGTAAGTCACACTGACTGCCATGTCACATGGGTGACACATGTATTCCATAAAAAAAAGTAACGTCACACACATTGTATGATAGTTTGTTTTATATGCTCTGTTATAAATAACATTAAGAAATAACTGTAAAGATACATTATAAGATCAATAGAATATTATAAGAATAATATATAGAATTTGATAGAATCTACAGTTTAAGCATTGATTGTCGCAAAGTGACAAGTAATACATTTATTACCCTCTGATAAAATAAGCAGAGTAAAATATATTTCATAAGAATCGTGCAGTTAGTATTAGTTCCAGATGACCTAATTTCACACAAATCTTTATTATTAAGGATGTCTTTTAGATTTTGTGTATTTCATTTTCTAACAAGTGTCATTTCCTTGCTTTCAGGGTTATGGAAGAAGAGTGGCAAACTTCTCTTCCTGGGTTTGGATAATGCAGGCAAAACTACCCTGCTTCACATGCTCAAGGATGATCGTTTAGCTCAACACGTGCCAACGTTGCATCCAAGTAAGTAATTTTCATCTAATCTACTTCTCACCTCTGTTTAATTTGGCCTTCTTTATATTGCGCACTGTACAATATAAAGATATTCTTAAATGTATAAAATATTGAAAATGTATAGTTTTCTGGCTTGTGATAACTTGTTTCTATTAAATTTCTTTTAAAATAGAAAACTTTGACTGTATACATATATATTCAATATGTATTGAAATAAAAAGTATTTTCGACTATGATGTTGCAGTGTGCAATAGTCGACTAAATATAAGAATCATATGTCAAGTTATCATTAATAATTGATGTTTTATAGCTTCGGAAGAATTATCTATTGGAAACATGAGATTCACTACCTTTGATCTCGGAGGCCATACTCAAGGTATACAAGTGTACATTTTATGCAAGTCATTGATTTGAGACTTGCGATTGGTCATACACTCATCAACTATATATCCTTTCAGCACGTCGAGTGTGGAAAGATTACTTCCCGGCTGTCGATGCGATAGTATTCCTCGTTGACGCGAGCGACAGGACAAGATTATCTGAGTCAAGGGCCGAACTCGATGCGTTGTTGACCGACGAGCAGCTCAGCGCGTGTCCCGTTCTGGTGCTAGGCAATAAAATCGACAAACCAAGCGCAGCGTCCGAGGATGAACTCAGAAATTTCTTCAATTTGTACGGACAAACCACAGGGAAGGTACAGCTGCAGGATACAAAAGTTACACCTGCTTTGATATTTGCGTTTTATGCGAAATACCTGTGAGCTATTACCGGTGAATTCAATATTTTCAGGGTAAAATTTCTCGCAATGAGATACCTGGCCGTCCACTGGAGCTTTTCATGTGCTCAGTCCTGAAGAGGCAGGGATATGGGGAAGGCTTCCGTTGGCTCGCACAGTATATCGATTGAAAACGTATATATTATTATATCCAACACACACAGTCAGATTTTTCGACAGTTTCATGAACATTTTCCTTCTCTCTGGTTCTTGGTTAGTTGACGTCGTTGACAATGTCGGGATATTGAAACTGTAATGATTCTCTTTATGCGAATTCGATAGTAGGAGAGGAATACCGTTTCACTCATGCTGATAACAGACACAGTCGCGGAAATTTGAAATCGTACACACACAAGTAGAGAGAGAGAGAGAGAGGGGAGATTCTCTAAAAGAAAAAGAGGCGAGTATTATCAGGGACGCTTTGCTGTATGATAGAACTCGTGGATTTTGTTTTTCTTTTGACATGTAAACACGCGCGAAGAGCCTGGCGCCGTCACCTTCCTCTGTCTCTCTTTCTCCCTTTCTTCGAAAGGGACGTCCCTTTTCCGCAGATCCGATGTGGATTCCTGTTCATTTTGCGAGTCACAACTAGGGGAATCATCGACATACTGGATAATAAAATAAACGTTTTGATAAATAAAAACTGTAATAAACTATTTAAGAATTCCATGTGTTTTGTAGACTTATTTTGGGTTAGCTATTAGTTATTTATAACGACAGGTAATGTCTGGTACGTTTCATGTGGAACATTGGATTCTTCGCGAGCGTACATATATGTAATTTATAGAAATTATGTCAGACCCTTAGCCCGCAGTGGTGCACGTACTTTCATACGTGCGCCTTTGTTACTTTCGACCTTGGCTGATCTTACAAGTGGTAATTATCTGAACCGATAAATACATATTTCATGTTCCGTTATTAGGCGTTTAACCTTAATGTTTGATTTGTAATTTTGCATTTGCGTGCCAATATATATATATATGTTCTTTGAAACGCATTATTTAGAGAAACTGTGAAATATGTATACCAGCGTTATTCTTTCTTCCCCGCAATGACATGAAAAAGTTCGTTAAACCGATTAACATCGCTAGATAGGTGCAATTACGTTGTGTTTTTAGATAGCAAATTGCGATTATTAATCGTAAGATTGCATGCATCAATTGCAGCTGATATTGATTGATAAGCAGCACATATCACGTTAATTACTATAAAATGATCTTCAATTGTAACATACGTTTGTAAATCAACGATTTGTTCGGAACTATTGAAATTGAAATTACTCCTAAGTGCATATATGTATAAGTTGTGACAAAATTTTATCTGATACATTTTTGTGAATTGTGCAGATAGATTCTTGATCACTGAAGGGTTGCTTCCGAAATAAAGATTAAAGTTACAAAAACACATTTTTTATACGACAGTTATGTAATAAATATTTCTGACGTCTCATTCTTGTTACTTGATACGAATGTCATTTTACGTTTCATATTATCGTGTACATTCGTTCATGCAGTGGTTCTGGCAATTGATTGTCACGTATAAATCACAATACACATCACGAAACATACTAGAGATTTGTCATCCGAGAAAGAATAAACCAAGTCAGATACATATTTCATATTTTTAATAAACATTTGAATATAAAATTTACATATAAAAATAACATTTAAGAACTCCAATAATGACATGAAATATGATTATTTCCCCCTCTCCATTACTTTTCACAATTTGCTCGGGCCCAATTCTAACTCCAAATCAGCAGGTAACGGCGCGAACCGTTTGTTTATATATTCTTCTGTAACTTCGGCTAAAGTACTCGGTTTCCATATCGGTTTCTGATCTTTGTCGATCAAGAGAGCTCTCACACCTGCAATCAAACCACGACGTTGAATCGATGAGTCGCATGGTGTCGATCGAGCCTTATTTAATTACCTTCATAGAAATCGCTTTCTTTCTTTAACGTGGTACACGTTAATCTATATTCGATCTTCAAACATTCCGCCAAAGATCTTTCTTTTCCTTCGTCGATTGCTTTCTTCGTCACCTTAAGAGAGGTCGGGCTCACTTTCAATATTATCTCCAAGTTCTTTTGTGCCCATTCCGAATTATCCTCCTTCAGCCTTTACAAGGAGGATCAGTTGCGCATTTTTGTTGTATAAAAAAAAACTGTTAATCCCGTCGCTTTAAATTAGTTTTCTTTTACCTCTCGATTATCTCCTCGACGTTTGGAGCGGAGAAGCAATGGTCTATCTGCGACATGTGACGTGTTAAGCTGAATTCGTGATTTAATTTCGGCTGATACTGATTTAAAATGTTATCGATGCTGCTGCTCGGTGACGTCAGCAAATCACGCTTCAAATCTGCGAGTTTCTCCGACGGCACGTAGTGTGTTGCGATTCCAGCGAGAAGTACGTCAACACCTTGATTAAACAAAAATACAATTATACATAAGTGTGTTGCGCAAATAAACCGACAAACATTGCCAACGTAGTTGGAGATCATTCTAGATAAAAAACATATTACATAAACAATGAATCAATTCAACCCCGTTCGATCGAGATATGTATTGAAATACTGATACATTTATTTATCGCGTTAGATTATATTCCTATCTTGATTAGAATAAGCTACGATAGTGAAATACCTGATCTAGCTGTCGATGCCCTCATATAAAGCAACGAATGTTATATCGCCTTCGCCGTTTATTCTTTGAGTTAGGCACAGTTCGATAAAATGCTTGGGAAATTTTCATTCGAAGAACACGCCGGTATGGTTTTTATACACGGTATTTCATCAGTTTCTCTCTAATATTGGCAAAAAAACATATTGCAGATGTGATGAGAAATTTTGCGATGCGAATATCGCTGCCGATATTTTTCTACAGCAGAACGTCCATTCTCATTGTAAAAACTATATACAACACCATAACGGCGTATCCCTAAAATGGAAAAACTTCTAGATATTTTATTGAATAGCACTCAATAACTCAAAGAATGATCGGCGAAGGTGATATAATATCGTTGCTTTGTATGTGGACATCAATAATTAACTCTTATCATACTTTACTCTTTACTCTTATCATTACTAATACTTACTCTTATCATTTCGAAATACCGAGACGGGCAGCTCACTTCAATCAGGATAGGAAAATAATTTCCTAATGCGATAACTATCTAATTTTATCAAAATGAGTTAAAAAGTATGATATAAATAATAGATCAATTTAGCTCCATTATCAAGATATTTACCAAAGTCTATATATATCATCACTTTGACGAAAATTTTGATAATGGAGATAAATCGATCTATTATTTATATCACACTTTTTAATTCAGAATGACTTCTCAAATATGCTGGCAAAGTTTGTCGATCTATACGTGAAACATTCTGTATATGAATATAGAATACATTGAAAGTTCGCAAATATTTGTATCGAGTAGACTCTCTTTACACATGCTCTGGATAATACAACAAATAATACAAATTTTTAGTTAAAAATTTAGAGGATTCATTGGAAGTTATCACACACCTTTTAATCTGTGTCCTGTTAATCCCAAGAAAAGACCCAATTTTCCTTTCAGTCTGGGCAAGAAGTAAGTCCCGCCGACATCAGGGAACAGTCCTATCATTGTTTCCGGCATAGCAAAGAGCGTCTTCTCCGTAGCGATTCTATACTTGCCGTGCACGGACAATCCAACACCACCTCCCATCGTTACCCCACTCATAAAAGCTATATAGGGCTTTTTGTACACACTAATATGATGGTTTACGCTACAAGAGACAAGAGAACAAATTGCTTTACAATCTATTCGCATGTACATATACACTTGTTTGTGAGTAACCATTCGTATAACATACCTATACTCATTTTTAAAGAATTTCTGCCCGTAAGTATGTCCGTTTGGTTGATTTAATGTTAAAACAAGTGCTTTAATATCACCACCTGCACAGAATGCCTTATCACCTGCACCCTCTATCATTACTAATCTCTTCGAAGATTCCCATTCCTTTAAAATGGGTTGAATCTTAGATAACATGGATATACTTAGGGAATTCAATGCTTTGGGTCGATTTAACACTATCACACCGCAATCTTCAACCTGTTTGTATATATAAATACTTTAGGTTATAGTTTTAATATAAGGAATAAAGCTGGAAATGTTGGAGACTTTTGAACATAATATACAAGGAACATACATCTTTCATGAGAACGTCATCTTCCATGCCTCCAAATATACCTTGGTATGTAATATCTTGGGAAGATGCTGGAACAACAATATAATTTGATAATCATGTGTGAAATCAATTTTTGATTAGAAATTGAATAATAGAATTTTATCCTGCTACTTAATAGAGTATATGTTTTGATCACATCAATATGTTATCATTAAATGGAGAATTTGTAGGGAAAAATTTAGACAAAGAAAGAATGATGTCTCTTTTAGGAATTCCTTAGTATGATGTGAAAGCTAAATTCTTACCTGCGGAAGAATTTGGTAGTGAAAACGACCTAACAGCAACATTTCGTATGATTGTACTGATATCTGGACAGTATACTTTTCTTATGACGTTTGAAATCTTATAACATAAGAATAATAAGAATAATTATAATATTTATTAATATAATATATTTATAAAATATAATAAGAATAATTATAATATTTATTATTAATTATAATAGTTATCTCATACTGATATGTGTAATTCATTAAGACATATGTCTGTGTAACAAACTTACTATACGTATACATAAATATTTATATATTATTATGTTTAATTGTATATAAAAATATATTATGTTTCTATATGATTTTGTATATAAACGAATATATAAAGTGACAAAATTATATCATTTTCTTGAAATATTACCATAATTGTTGACGTGGAATAAAACGTATCCTTCCAGTTGAACTGAATTATGTGCACTGATGTTTTACGTACGTCCTATCTTGTGAAGTTATCTTGGCTGAGTTTAATGTTCCCTAGATGCTCGCCTTATAAAGCGTCATTCCATCTTCCTTTGACGTGTAACGAACGATAAAGATAAAAAAGAAGATTACAGCGCGTGAGAATTAAGAAAGAACTCACCCAAGCAACACGTAACTATTCGAAGTACGTTCGCTTTGCGTTCAATTGGTTTTCTTATATTCAAACAAAGTGGAAGCGTTCAAAGAATGCCGAACAGATGTACCGGCAGCCAAATATCGCGTCTAACGAGACGTATCGCATGTAAACGCGTTTTTTCCTTTTTATGTTTGTTCATAAAGCGTGACACCGAACTACGCCGACTGATTTCACGCGCATTTATACCTCAGAATCTTTATTACTTTTTACCTTTCTTGTCTGTTATCATGAATAAATTTAATTTAGTTTTCACATCTAACTGTGATTACATCTCTTTCTTTCCGAGTCTGGCGAGCTCACCCGGGACACCGCTCCCGACGCGATATTAAAGAATTCAACATGACGACCGACCGTAGGCAAATCGCACTGTTTTATCGATAAAAGTAGCTTAGGAACCACATGTGGTTAAGAAGCCACATTTAAGACACTTTTATCGATAAAAGAGAGTTCAAAATACAGGCCTTAGCAATTTATGCTACTTACATCCCAAGTGAACGCAAAGCGAACGTGCTGTATGAGTAATTTCAATAACAGCTCAGAGGCGCGCTTGCGTCATACGTTGTCATACTCAGCCAAGATAACTTCACAAGATAGGACGTACGTAAAACATCAGTGCACATAATTCAGTTCAACTGGAAGGATACGTTTTATTCCACGCCAACAACGTTGTAAATCATCGGATGATTCAGCGGAAAAAATAGTATATAAGCGCTTTTCCTTTTCGGCAACTTTGTGATTGTTTTAATTTGTGTATCAATTGATAAATGTTTATCTTTCCGTCAATGCACTGCTGCTGGGTATCTTATGAAAAAAAAAAGTAAAAACATCAGATTGATGCAAAAAAATTCTGTTTTACTCATAGAATGGGGATCTGAAGCGTCATAATAAAACTCTATAATAATAAAATATATACACCTTGGTGGGATTATGTCTATTTATAACAAATTATTTAAAAAATATATTAATTGCTAAAAGATATTAATATATTAACCGATATTAATATATTAATACATAAACAACATTAATATGTAACAGAGCAGCATAATTGTGACACTTTAGCTACGTAAGATATATATTAACACTTTAACTGCCACGTTGGTCATGTATGACCGGCCACGGTGGTCACGGTATTGGCGGTGGTTACGTGGCGTCCTGAGCGTATGATTTCGGCGTGGCAGTCGAAGTGTTAAGGGTTCTAAAACGTGTGTTCTTCGAATGTTCCCACTTTGTTTGAATATAACAAAATCAAATGAAAGCGAACGTTCCTCGAACGTGCTGCTTGGGAAAGGTCCTTATTCTGAATCCTTTATTATCGATGAAAAATAGGTTAAAGTGTCTTACAATTGCGAAATATCAAATATTCCCAATCTCTCTCTTTGTATCTTTTATTCCTAGGTATCTTAAATTATTATTTTTTATATCATCTCTCCATTCCTTTCTAATATTACATCCCAAATAGCATATGTGAGTTTGATATATGTTCTTCAAACTATGTGACGTTTTGTAATTGTATCACACATGTTTGAAGAACGTATATGAAATTAACTGCGTTATCTAGGATATGCCTTTGTAAACAAGAGATAAGTTGAGTTTTATCAAATTCCATTTAAAATGTGAATCCAAAAATAAAATTTACTTGTTTTTATTCCTAAAGTTTAATTTCATCGACAAATTTTTATTTCTATCGTTTCGGTCACGAGATTATTGTCCGAATCTCGATATCTTCATCGAAGAAAAATCTATTCTAAATCGAACAGAGAGCGATGAGAAGACATCTCGTATAGCTTAACACAGATACATGAATAGTTGTTATTTTCAACCTTATTAGTTTTATGAAAATTATCAAAGCTGATGAACGAAGTATTATTGTAGATTATCGCTTGCAAGAAATGTTTTGTAATATGTCGCGATAATTGTAGATTTCTCAAGAAACTTTTCGCGACATAATTGCCGATAAACCGTGAGAAAATTGATACTAATTGCAATATAAAAAATCGCCTAGCCTTCGAGTCTTACACTAAAGTGTATTAAAATGTTCTCTCTGAGTATAGAAAGGTGTATAGAAAGGAAACTCGCGTGTCATCTTTAGGCTCCAACGCATTTATCCTTCGAAGGCCAGTGTTTAGATATAAAGAGCGTCTTTGCTCCAACGATCACCACAGCGCCAACGCAACAAGCATCAGTCGGTCAAGAGGTTCTCTGTAATCTTCAAGTAGTACGACTCAACGACAGCGCGTCCCTCTGATCTCTACTTTCAAATTCAACGGGTCGGATGGCCTTTTGTTGTCAAAGCAATACGATTCAAAAAGGAGTTTGCCACTCTTTGTTACGCGACGACCGAGGAATAAACAGTGAAATCTCTTTGATCTTGAAATAATCAAAGGGGACCGTGGCGCAGTGGGGAGTGGTCGTCGCATTCTCACGGCTACTGGCAGAGCGCGCTGGCGACTTGGAGGCACCACACTCGGGCATGGTATCGTCGGGAGAGTGGACGCACGCAACGCAACGCATCGCGACGCAACGCAGTCATTGGGAAACGTAGCCGACGAGAACGTCATTTTCGCGCAGCGAGAGGACACGTCCCATCGTCTATGTGTGATTATCGTGCGTCGTCACGTTATCGCCGAATTCACCGTATAGGTTATAATTCACGAGCGCGCGCTTAAAGTCGGGGTAATAACCGAATAAAGCGAGAGTGAGTAAGGAAGAGAGAGGGAAAGAAAGTAAGAGAGCGTGAGAGAGAGAGAGATATATATATATACACATATATACATAGTATATGGTTAATATATCGATCTTTTGTTATTTCCACGCGAAACGTTCGCGCGAACGATAAGAGCGTGACAGACAGAGAGAACGAGGAATAGAAGAGAGAGAGAGAGAGAGAGAGAGACGGATAGAAAGAAGAGTGAGGTTAGACGCTGTCAGGCTTTTCCCCCCTCCCGATCTTCGTCGTGGCGGTGCGAGAACTCGACGACGACATTTACGACTTTCCCGAAGCGTCTCTCGCGATATTAGCGAACGAACGTTTTATGCTCGTCCCACACGACGTTCGTCCAAACGTTACCGCCTACGACGATCGTTCGCGTCCTCTGCTCGGTCGCGCTTTAAGTTTGTCAACAGCTTCGAGAACTGCCTGGTATATACTCGAGAGAGCCCCGTGCGACTCCGCCGCGTGTAACGGCGCGAAAATCAAACGTTCGCCGTCGTTCGCAGAAAGACGCGGCGTATGTGTCGCGGACTCACGATATTGTGAAAACAATACGACGGGCAAAGGACAAAGCAAGCGCACCCGTGTCGCTGATGACACAGTAACGGGCTCGCGAGCAAACAGCCGAGATCGATCGCGATACTTGGTCGCACCGATCGACGGCGCGCCAATTAACGACGACGATAGATTATCGTAGCGTTCGGCAAACTTTACACTGGGATAAGTAAACGGATCAAGTGATAAGATAGAACGGGAGAGGAAGAGGAGCAGAAGGAATCAGTCCGTAGAGAGAAGTAGGGTCAAATTGAACAGCCGCGAGTCGCGTCGACGAGGGTGAAAAGTCCGCAAATAAAACGCCGTCGCAATCTCGGTGAGTTCCCACTCGGCGAGAACGACCGTTCCGTCGCGCTCGTTTCCTCGCCTCGTCGTGGCACGAACTCGCGTCAAAGTCGCACCGGTTCCGAGAGATATCGGTGAGCATCGCACAACCGTCTAATTGCAGAAGTTGCCGGAACGCCCGTTCGTTATCAATTATGACGACCTTGGACTCGCAGCTCGAGGAGAGCATGTGTTATCTCGATAAGCTGCCGCACGTGGAATGGGACAGTTCGACCCCCGGATCGTCCAGGTGTATGTTTCCCGACGGACTGAGTCCCCTGGAGTGTCAGATGGCCGGTCACCCCTTCGACGGTGAAAAACACACTATCGGTGAGCGAAAAATTCACGAAAAAAAAAAAGCAAGAAAAAGTAGAAGATAAAGTTACGAAAAATCTACGAGGCCTATTTTCTTTTCCGTTCCCTAAAGACAAGTAACGGAGCGCATGCGATAATAGACGGTATGATTGTGTCGATAAAAGGGAATTTCAAGAGCGCATTTTCGCCACGAACGGACATGCGCGAGCCGGTGAAAATTGAAAAGTCCGGCAAAGCGACTCTTTTCGCGCTAGCCGAGCCAACTCGGCGGCGTTGCTCTAATCTCTTATCCGCACTGCGCATTTTTGCACGCGCACGGTGCGTTTTAAAGGTGTATCGCGCGGCAAGGTCAAATGAAGCGGGAGACCATGTTGACTGTAAAAGCAGACACGACGCAAACATGTATTAAAACACCACATTACTACGTCGCGTTAGAGCCAAATATGACTGCCTATATCGCATTGTATCGTTCAGATCGACAAGTATCCGCGTGTATTTCATAATTCGGGGGCCGTTTGCGATCGCAGGTATGCTCCGCAGACCGAACGGGCACGTACTGAAACCGGCGACTAAAGCGATCCTCGGGGAAAGAGAAATTGCGTTTTACGAGAACTTGCAGACTTCCCAGGATCCTACGACGTCGCAACTGAAAAATTTCGTTCCGTGTTACTATGGCACGACGGAGTTGAGGGTCTTCAATAAACGTAAGGTTCTTTATCAACGACCTAACAACAATCATTTACACGAGATAAGCTAACCGGACTGACCCACAAACAGGCGTTTCAACGTTTTCGCAACTAAAGGATAAATATTTTCCCATAGTGTTTCCTTATTTATATAATTATTCATTTTAATTTACCATGAATTGCAATTAAAGCATCAAGTTAGTCAGTGAAAAAGTTTACTTGACAGTCAAATTTGTTGCATCCGATGGAAATCAATTGTTCATCGGCCAAATAATAATCATCGTCAAGTCGAACTGAATTTTTTTTCGATCGGCCCAATATTAACCGGTAATGTCTCGTTGCCTCTTCCTTCTTTTACTTCACCTACTATATATTGTTCAATCGCATGGCTGATCGTTCGATTCGATACGCAGGTACGAAGTTTCTCACGCTTAAGGATATCACGGAGGGCATGGCCGAGCCATGTGTGATGGATATCAAGATCGGCCGTCGCACGTGGGATCCTTTAGCCACGCCAGAGAAGAGGGCAACGGAAGAATTCAAGTATGCCGAATCGAAGCGTGCTTATGGTTTTTGTATAACCGGTTTTCAAGTATATTGTCTCTCCACTGGACGATTAAAAAAATTTGACAGAGATTATGGCAAGAAACTCGATGCCAAGGGCGTCGTAGAAGGTATCTGCTTTAGAGTTTTTAGGAGACATATACGAAGTCGATAAAAATATAAGACTGTCACGCCGGCGCAAAGCGAATGTACGGGATTCGCACGAATACTAGAAAGTTTATTTCAGGACGTAGGGAGCTAGTGAGCTTTCTCTCTCTAGTCGCTCTTAAGTAACCGAGGTAGCGCGTCACAACCGCCCGCTACTCGGCTACGGCTACGAGTCTCTTAACTCACTGGTCGATCGGTCGAGAGTCAAAATTAGCGTGCTTTTCGATTTGTGAATGTCAATGGGAAAGCAGTCGCCCGTGAATATCTACCAATTTTACCTAATAAATTTTTCCAACCTCTGGAACGCCGACAAGAAGGAAAGGGATGACAGTAATTCCCAGTAAATCTTGGAGAAACGCCTCCTCGTTTGCTTTTGTCTGCATATTGTACGCGCGTTCCGGTACTATTCTGAAAAATCGGACGCATTTCATCTCGCTTCGTGCAGCTTTCTGATTATCGAATCAGCAAGGCCAGTTCCGCTAACGTCGGTGTTCTAGGGTTGACGACAAATTAGCCAATACGGCGTTGAAAAAAACAAAAGGGAAAGAAAAAAATCCAATATTCGCGACGTGTGTTACTTCGACTTAGCGTTAAGATTCCCAATAAGCTCCCCGGAACCGCGTTATAAATACCTTCTTCTTCTTGTCTTCACGCAGCGCTGAAAACTTTTCTAAACATAACACCTGAGAAGCCAGCCTGCCGGCAACTGATCGCCAAACTCCTGTCGATCCTGTGTCAGATCATGCTGTTCTTCCGCACGCAACGGAAGTATCGCTTCTACTCCAGCTCGCTCTTGGTAGCCTATGACGCTCACAGATTACGGCCTTGTCACGCCGACGATGAGGATCCCGACGGCAGAAGCGAGCCCGCCGCGCCGAGCGATCGCACTGTCGTTTCAGACGCGTCCGCCGCGCCGCGCTCGTCCGTTCCCGCCGAGAGTACAGCGAAGAGAAGCCGGACGGAGATGCCGGCGAATCCGCTCAAGAGGAGCGTAAGCACAGGGTTCGTCGAGACGATAGAGGACGAGAAGGTATCTAATCGGAGCGGATCTTGCAGTTCGAAGACTGACCGCTGGCTGTATCGGTCCAACGCGATCACGTCGACGACGAAAGGCGATGGTCGCAAGGTTGCGGCGACGGACGAGCGCGACTGGGTGAGAATGAACATGATCGACTTTACGCACGTCTTCCCGGCGGACAACGACAGATCGTTGGATCTCAATTACTTGGAGGGTATCGAGAACCTGGCCAAATTGCTGGAGTCGTTCGTATCTCGCAAGCACGACAGTCACGAACGAGAGAAATCTCGCGTGACGCTGTAGAGAGAGAGAGTCGTTCTTCGAAAAACCGACGACTGAATCGCGTGGTTACTCTCAACGATGTCCCGAGAGTGGATAGAGAGAGATAGAGGATAGGTCGTTTCGGACGAGCGAATCGCGGCGAGGTGTTGTTGGCACGTGCGGGACTTTCGGCAGGAACGGGAATTAAGGACGACAGAATCGACGAACTCTCTCGGCACAACGAAGAAAACCGTTGAGAGAGCGGGTGTTCACAGTGAGAGTTACCGTGGTAGCTCTTCCGAGAAAGCAGGATGTTGGAATCCGGATGAAAAGACCGTCTTCGACGTCTGGGTCCTCCCTCCTTCGGAGAACTCGCTTACTCGGCAATTTTGCGACGTGTCTCCCCTGGAACGACCGGAGCGAAGGATCGGGCGTTTCGAAGGACGTTATTCCGCGACACGTGCGGATCTCTTCTCGCTCTCGCGGAGACCCGTCCACGGATTCCACAAGAAACACATCTTTAGAGTACACTACGATTAAGACTTTTGTACTTTGCCAAAAAAAGGAAAAAAGAAAGAAAGATAATTGTAACGCAGTGAAACAGAGCATCCAGCGAATTTCATACGTTCGATTCTCCACTCCTTTTTTTCTGCCCATGGATGACGCGCTAACGTTTCGAGTTGTACGCAAAATTCAGTGCTAAATGCAATCGATAATTACGAAAGATTAACGAGAGAAAAGATAGGCACCCCATTGTAAATCTTTCAATATCGTTCGAGTGACGACGTTTATATGACGACAATAAGTCGCACTTTGTAAAACGCTGTACCGCGAGCGAATACGAAAAGCCCTTTCGAAAGTGACGTGGTACCACCGTTACCGGTCCTACCACATTACGGATATTTATATTATACGCAGTACGTGGTTATAAAAGTGCAGATTATTGTAATTACACAATAGCAGCAATAAATGATTACGATGTGAAGCGGAAGGTGAGGGTTCATTGTCGCGTCCTCCGTCGGTCTTTGCGGATAATCTAGTTTCTAAGCACTCAGTGAAAGACGACGAAGAAGAGCTTCGATCCTTGTCGTTTCGCGCGACGAGAGTGTCTGACAATAATAATGTCAACGAGAGATGGCGAATGATAATCGTAAAATAACTGATCATTTTATCCCGCGATATGTAACGATGTTGTTTCGACTCGGATGAAACACGGTTGGCGCCGGGATGCATCAACAGGCGGACTCTTAGTCGCATAATATTTTATTCGCCATTCACTCATAAACAGTTTTTTTTTACACCGTCGCCGATCGAGCGCGCGCGCCGTCGCGACGTAATCAACCGCGATAATAATTAATAATTTGCTTAATCTCTCTCGTAACACTTATAGTAACGCGCGCGCGTTCCTGTACGTACACGCGCGCGCGTGTGTATGCGCGTACGCACGGACATACACACACACGGGTATATTACAACGTATACACACATGTATATCGTTCGTCCCTGCACCTTCTTTTCCCTCTTTCTTTCTTTCCATTACTCACGCTCGTTTCGCTGACATTCACATTACCGTTCAATTTCGAGCGATAATCTTATCGGTTGGAACTATTTGGTGTATATACACACACACACCACATCTCGTCGTTCAATTGTCCGATTTCGTTTGAACGAAAAAGACCCGCCCGTCGATTAAAACTGCGCTACAATGCGTCTTTATGAATGGGCCGAAGACAAGGGGGGGGGGAAGCAACTGGAATCCCCGTTAATCTCCCGCTAATCTTGCGTAAGACGCGAAGGAGCAAATGAAGGATGAGGCGAAAGAAGCGGAGGTGCGAGAAGTGAAATATCGCCGATCTTCGTCGCGAAGAGTAACGGCCGGCTGTTGGAAATAAAAAAGAAGCCCATCGCGATTAGAAGCGACGAAGCATTAACGATTAGACGATACGATGTCGAATCACAGAATTTAGAATCCAACCGAGATGTCGCAGGACCTCCTTCGTCGGATCGCGCGCGCGTTTCGACATCGCGATCAATAACGACAATAATAATAAGTAGCCCTATATATCACATAGTAAACGCAGGCGCAACAATAAATATTGCAGGACGCATTAAATAGCTAAGTTTGACGCAATAGTTCCGTAGGAAATAGCGGGTCCTGTTAATGTACGATCAAATATGCATCATGTTACACTAACAATTGTTACAGTTTAGTCGAAATGCGTTCTCTCTTACGCACACACATACGCGCAATTTCTCTCTCTTTCTCTCTCTCTATATATAATTGCACAGTTATAATTACAGAATAATTCGATGAAACGTTGTAAAGTCGTTCATACGTATTTAGACCGGTTGCTGCGTGTTCCCTACATGCTTGAGATTAAACCAAGATAGCGTAAACAAGATAAGGATAAACGAGAAGACAAGCTCCGTCTCGCAGTGAGGCAAAATGGCAATAACGACGAGATATACGAGATATGCTCTGGCGAAAAATCTCTCTATCGACCGCTCCCAACTTTTTTCTCATCATCGTCCGTTCGTTCTTTTCACACATACACACAAACACACACATCCCTACACACCACACCCGCACACATACACACTCGCGCACGTTTCTTTTACGCGTATAATAATAATTAGTCTTGCTATAACGTTATAATTAACGGTTAATTTTTCGATAATTACTTCAGTTGCTTCAATTAACTGCTACTTTCATTTAGGTCGATATATTTAACGTATAACTATATAAATACAGCAGGCATTCGTTATATTTACAAATCTACGTATTTTCCCATCGCATTTCCCATCTTGCTCGCTCCTCCCGTTTCTCTCTCATTCTTATTCCAGTTTTCTTGCTCAACAAATCATCGCTGCTTTCCCGCATTTGCTCGCTCTTCCCCTTTCTTTCTCTTGTTGCGACGATTTCGCGCGAGTTTCGATGGCGAAGAAGCAGGTCGTCGGAACAGAGCGCCGAGTCGAAGATCAAAATCATTAAGTCGAAAACCAATTCTCTCGCGTTGCCTGGAAACTATCACAGCGTCGATATTCTTCCTTCGTATCACAAAATTCGCGACGGGATTTTTGGGACCATAATATACAACGTACGATTTCCCGACCGTTCTTATCCGCGTTGCGCTTGCCGGCGGACGTTCAACGAGGTCATTGTCGTCGTCACGCAAGGACGAGGAGAGCCGCGCGTGAATGCGCGTTGCCTAAATTCGCCCCGACAAAGGCCGCTCGCGGAATTGAAGAATTACCGACGGTGAACGTCGAACAATTGCGCGCCTGGCCCACGGCGAATTAGGGGCTCTTTGGTAGCGGCGAGATACAGCCGATTGCCGGCTACCGCTCACCGGCTTTCGATCTTCTCGGCGCTCTGAAAAGAACAATGGCGAGCGCGGATATCGGGACCGCTCGGGGATTTAAGTGGATTTAAGTGACCTAATTGGACGCTGTAATCTCAAGCGGATCCGAGTGCCAGCAATTCCTGTAGTTACATTTCCGACGGGTGAGCGCGAACAGTGTAGGATTTCGTCCGTAAGGCCCGAGAAGCGACGAAATCCTAGGAAAGCTCTCTTCTCCGAGCTTCCTCGTCTCGCGAGACCCACCCACTCCTTCACCCGCGCGAGGTCAGTCGGTCGATCGGTACGGTAGTATCTTAACGTAGATGTGGTAGATTCGCGATTTACAAAAATGCGTGAAATATCTTCGGAGAGCTCGCGTAGAAACGTTATAAAGGCGAGTATATGGCGGGAAAAAGTTACAAAAGGAGAAGAAGAAGGCCATGCTTGCTTCGCACTGTCTTCCGCGCTCTCTCATTCTCTCTCTCTCTCACTTTCATCTACTCTTACGCGCACTATACAAACGAGACAGTGCCTTGGGGTTCACGCACATTTACTCGCAGGTGGCAAGTCGCTGCTATTCCTCTCGTTCGAAGGGCGACGCTACGGCCAAAGATATATTCAAAAAGAAGGCACTCTCACCTCTCAGAGATCCGAAGAAATGAAATGTACAAAAACGAATACGGCCGCCGAAGCGTCGAGTCGTGCGGACGATCGCCACCTGCTCTGTTGCGTCGTTAACCATCATTACTTTCTTACAGTAACCAGTCGTCAGTCGGATCATATCGCGACATCGTGACACCTCTCGCTCTCTAAATAATTCATAGAAGAATCATTTGTCTATCTGCTCTTTCCTATCGCTCGTTAAAGAATAAATTACTTTATAATTTTCTCTCTCTCTCCCTCTTCGCCGAATAAGAACGCATTCAACAACTATCGATTTCCGAGGAATAACTTACAATAATTAAAATCGGCAAATTTTAACAATTTTTAGTCGAGACTAGCTCAAGACTAGCGACGATATGAGTACCTCCCTCATCATTAACGTTACCAATCAAGATTATCCCAGTTGGGAAGCATCACGATGTCGCGCTCGAGAATTACCGAGTCCGATCGACTGAACAAACCGGTCGGTTCTTCGCGAGTCCGACGATATCGCGGGCGATACACGCAGCGGAGACAATTCGCTCCTCGGATCGAGCGTGCGACGAGTCCTACGCGAAAAAGCGATCAGATAATATCTACAGCCGAGTCGGACGCTCTCGATCGTGTCGTCGTGTCAAACGATCGAGTCATCTTTCCGCGTATATCTCGCGCTAGTCATGGAACGCTCTGAGAATGCTAAAGTGGGGAGAGTCCGGGACTTGCTCAACCGTAATTACCGGAGTCACGAATCGTCGACGACGATATCTTGGATTGCTTAAAAAGCATCGCCGAGCGAAAGTATAAAAATCCGCGGTCACGTGCGAGGAGAGAGAGATGTCTCTACACGCGGCGCGGTTGCACCGGTAAGCTCTTTAATTAAAGATACTCGGTAGAGATGTCAAAGTAACGTTGCGCAAAGACGGTCGCTGCGATCCTGCGACTAAAAATATCCGAAGACCGCGATGCGCACCCGCGCTCGCTCGTGTCAAGGCGAATTCGCTCGCCCTCCCTCCCTATCGATTATTTGCTTAACTTGTGCGTTAGAATTATTCGTGAGCGTACGCTGATTTGGCACGTCGGTCGATTTGCCGCGTTAACTAACGCGAAAGAGAATTCGCACGCGCGTTTCAACGCAGTTAGAGAAATTTCGTCACCGCGCGCGCGGTGAACTCGCGTTACTCAACTATCGATCAGGTCGCCGCCGCATCGGCCCTGAAACATTAATAGGCATCCTTTTTCGAGGTCGCAAGCTTAGCGTGCGCAGGATGACACGACCGGTATGTATCATTGTTGCGAACAACGTATCGTTCAACTCAAGCGCGGTACGTAACAATACGACCTCCTGATAATTCGGCATTCCCAGCGTCATCGCTACGTACGACGACACGGAGAGATGTCCGTTGTTAACCGAACATGGTCGGATTCTCGCTAATGGATCACTGGTGGATATTAGAGATGTAAAACGATTATAATTGAAGGAGGGAAAATATATATACAATTCTCTCTCTCTCGGCAATTTGCTATTTCTAGCCTGACCGCAGTCTCGTCGCGGAGAGAGATTATTATTTCCAATCGAGAGAATAGAAATCCCACTTGGAGCGGATGCAATCATAATTCAAAGGGAGGACAAATACGTAGAGAATTTTTGTCGGGAACGTCGAGCGATCCATGGTCGGCGATCTGAAGTGTCGTTACGGTTCGCGATCTAAAACAACCTTTTTTTCCCCTTTGCGGAATTCGTGGCACCGAAAGAATTTCAGTTTGCTTAAAGTCGCAGGTGTTTCTCTCGCGGCAGTGATCGGTCGCGAATGATCTGTCTTTCTTCCGTTCTCAACTCGCGACGAATTTGTTGTTAAATTGTGAATTCTTTCTTTGCTTCTTTCTTTCTTGTTTTTTTTTTTAAAGGCCTCTTGTTCTTCTCTCTAGGAAGGAAAGTGGAAGATAAATCACAGAAGTACACCACGCACGCATAGAGGACGCATCGTACTCCCTAAATATACCTACTACCTCAGTAAGGATCTCGTATCGGCGAACGAATCGCCGCGTCGTAAGACTCTCGTCCTGTCGCAACCGGGTGTTTTGGCAGTTAACTTTCACGTATGTATACATATATGTATATGGCATGCGCGTTATCACCGACGCGACGGGCTCTGCAGCTCATTATACCCGTCGTCGTCGTCGTTTCTATATGTATATATATAATTTATATAATATATATATCGACGACGTGTGTCGCCGTAGACGACGCGCGGCGTCGTCCCGTGCGAAAAAGACACTTTTTCCCATTATTATAATACAAAAAAACGGAGAACAGCGCGGGCGCGCGCGCGAAATACGAGGCACACTATAATAGCTTGGGCTGTTTTGCTTGGTCGGCGCGATTCGTGGCCGATCGGCTCGAGTAAACGAATATACTCGTGTGACTTCCGCGAGCCGCAGGAAGCGAAGTTCATATATTTTCGTCCGTGTATAGTTTCGAATATAAGACGTCGCGCGCCGATAAAAATGATTAGAAAGACGAAGCGAGACGAGAACGAATTATACATCTTCACTTGTCGTACAACGGCTGAATATCCGAAAAGCCGAGCTAATTCTACAAGATTTACGTAACAGTAAAATAACACCGATAAAAAGGAGCAATCGTGCGAAAATATTCCCTGTTCACACACACACACACACGCGCGCGTGTTTTGGTAAAACAATGGTGATCCGAGTAGAATAAATCGAATACCCGAAATTTGATATCGAGAAACGCATCCATCCGGTCTGTATTGCAAACGAACGCTACGTTCGGCGCTGAACGCCACCCTATGTAGAGTCGAGAATACGATGCACCGGCCCGGAGTTATCAATCGGAGTTATCGGCGCGCCACTTCTACCCTCGCTCTTTCTCCGTCCTCTCGCGAGTCCTCCACGCAGTCTTTTTCTAAACGCTCGTCCAGCGACTCAGCGCGCGACCAAACGTACGACCGAGACGCGACAAAGAGAGACGCTCGTTTCTCACAGCCGCGCGCGCGCGACACACTTTTCCCCCTCGCGAAATAAACGGGCGGAGAAACGGACTCGTCGACCTTCATCGGGAATCGCGTCTCCCATCTGCTTGGTGGCGATCGATGCTTGCGACCATCATCGTCCCGCATTCTTGCGTAACGCACCACCAACTGCGTGAACGCACTCCCATTTCGACGGAAAATGCGCGTTCTTTAGGCCTATACGTGCATGTGTGGTTTTCTCGCGACGTCGGTCGACGGACCTTCAACGCGACCTATCCTTTAACGATAAGACGTTATCGCGCGCGATCCCTGCTTTTTTGCGGTGAGAACTGTAATCTTCTCGCGACTCGTCTCGTCGTGCTTGAGCAACGAGATACTTTCGAGTGACAATTTCCTGCCGCGACTTTGTTCCCTCTCTCTCTCTCGTTGTATACACACGTGCTTATAATCGCGTGCGCGATGAAAGCTGAGGCCGCCTGGAAAACTCGCTGTGAGAAACAGCGGTGAAGAACAGAGGACCCTTCCCCGGCCCTACCTACGTCGACCTGACGATAACACCCGGACTCTTCCAGTCGTTCTTCCGATATTGCCGCGACACACCGGAACGAGCAGCGTCGTCTCCAATCGAGTCGGATAAAAACGTGCATCGGCGAAATCCAAATCTGGACGCCCAACAGGGCAATACAGAGATACCCCGCCTGCGAATTCCCCATCTACCTCTCTCTCCCCGAATATAATTACATTTCCGGAATGGTGCTCCGAGCAGAGATATCGAAGCCGCCGATTTTGGATTCCACGGATAGCCCTCTCCCCCTCCCGCCTACATCCCCCGACTAGCTCCATTCTCTCTCTCCGTACCGGAGGGAGGACGTTGCTCGTTCCAGTTGCGCGGTATCGATTTCTATATGGAACCAGCCTTTCTGTCGGAAAATTTCACGTCGGAAACATCGCGAGATTTATCATCGCGTTTTACAAGCGGGACGTCTTAGACGCGGCTCGCCCGTCGTCTCTAGTAGTCCGTTTCCTCCCCCCCGTTTTGCCCGTACGCTCCTTTCGCGTATACTTTCATACATCTCTCTCTCTCACACACATGCACTCTCCGCGCATCGATATATCACTGGAAACCGCCGCGCGTCCTTTCGAGCAGGACCGCGGCAGGAACAGTTCGCTTCGCTGCCCAACGCCACCGATAAATTATCAACAGCATTCTATACGATTTCGGCAGAAGCACCTCTCGACGGCGTTCGCGCCGGAAGAGACGCCGCACGAAACGGTGCCTCCTGACTAACGACCCGCCGCCGATCGGCAAGATCCCCCTCTAATCTAACTTTCCTTCTTATCTATCACGTCGTCTACGTCGATCTTGTTTCCTCGTCCCGCTCTGGCGATTTTAAGCGATAAGCGATGCGCAGACAACCGCGAGGACGGCGGACGACAGCAGGATGGTCGACGAGCTGCCGCTATCGGTCGGACCGTTCTGATGAGTTTTCACCGATGAATCTGAAACGAAGCGTGTGACGATGACATTCGGCTTTCCTTCAATCGAACGAGTCGTATATGAAAAACAGTTTCGGAGGGCCAAATTACTGTCGCGATTATAACCGTTGTGTAACCGAACAAGAGAGGAACGTTTTCCGCGCACATCGGTGTCGTAAGATATTCGACTCTGATGGGAGTGGACAGCTGGAGGCTCCGAAAAGCTCATAAAATGTATAAACGCGTGTAAAAATCTCGTCCCGAGAATACAAAGGAGATTTTAATTTAAATGAGAGAAAGAGCGGAAAGGACAAAAAATGCACAGAAATTAGTCAAAATGGGTGAGCAAAGAACGATTTAAGCACGGCGATAAGAAATCTCAGTAAGAACAGGACGTCTAATTAGAATCTAAAAGCCCTTAGGAATCTCGAGCTTTTAATTGACCTTTCTTTCCCCGTTGCGCCTTCCTCTCGACCTTCGCCGCTCAGTCTGACTATTATTCCCTCCGGACTTTTCCTCACGAATATCTCTCTCCTCTTAATTCTCGCTTGTATTTACGATACGCGAGACGACAATGGAATTCCGCCGGGAGTACACCGGCCGGGATTATCGATGCAAATCAGGACGGATGCGAGTAACCTACCTGTCGTGGTGGGACCCATTCCGGAGCCGGACGCCTCGTCGTCGTCGTCTCGATCGTCGCCGTCCTCGTCGTCGTCCATCCCGCTGTTGTGCGATCTCCAATACGGCGAGTCTCCGCTTCCGGAGCCGTCCAGAGCCTCGTCTCCCAGGAAGGCACCGGCGTCGGGCGATGACGCCAATTGAGACTGTACCATCTGGCCGAACACAGTGCGAGACACATTGACAATCGTGCGTAGCGTCATCAAATATCGTCATCCGAGAACGTGTCGAGACACAACGATCGTTAATATCGGGCGTTGCGGTGGAAAAACGCGCGTTTCAAAACGCCACTCGACATTACTCTCGAAAACGTTTACACGCGTTTCATTTATTCACATTCATTGTTTTCGAACAAAGCGACGAGAGTGGTTACTTATTGATCGCCGCTGCATACGGTGCTCACGAGAGTCGCACTCGCCCCTATTTGAGACGATTCGTCGGACTAAGCGTGGGACTACGTATAAATGATTTTCTGAAAAAAAAAAATCCATCATTTTGAATTGATGGAGGAGTCGCTGGAATCGTGAAAAAATGATAACTCCGTCGGCGGGAAGTCAAGCCGTCGCGGCGACGCTCCTCCCGATTAAGCCGCCCGACTCCATCGAAGATGCAAGCGACGTGTCTAATTAATCGCCGGCCGATCCGCAGCTAATCGTGTCTCGATAACGGCGACATAGATTTACATTCCGCTGAAAAACCGCCGCCGCCGACCGGCCTTTAATTCCCACGTTCGCCCGCACGACTCTTAACGGCTGCTGGCTAGCCCGCACCTGCCAATATCTTCAGTTGCTATTCATCGGCGTGTCTAACATCACCACCGTCCGCGATCACGAAGGAGCCTTTCTCGATCCTCGGATCGATCGATAACTTCTCCACCCTTAAGATACTCATCAACAGGAGCATACGCCGTGTTAATTAATGGATCGATTGCGTGCTATTGTGGAGCGCGCTGTACGCAAAACGAGACGGTATAATCGAGCGGTGGAACATGGTGTAGTCGGAGAAGAATACTCCCCGGGTACTTTTGTGATTAACCGTAACGGCGCGTAAAAGTGTCCCGTTATGGAATCGCGAGACGAACGCGCTAATTTATCAAGGAATAGCCGATTTATCGGAGCCAACACCGACACCCGGTATACTCGCGTGCATGCGTGTCTCGTGATACTGTAAATCAGAAGTAAGCGGCCCGATTCCGCGACACGCGAATTAACATGCGTGTGGGCACTTACACGTGTGTGTCCCACACATAATGGTTGTCAACTCGAGCGCCGAGATATTCGTGGAAGAGTGCATTGAACGCGACCGGCGAATAGAAAAGCGAATATCGTATGGTCGATCCGCAATTGGAAATGTGGAAAGTTGTTTGATTTAAAAAATTTTTATCTGAAACTCGATCAACGTTGCGGACTTCCAACGATTTCTCTCGGCTTAATAGATTCCTAAACGACTCTACGGAAGACTCATTATTTTACGTTTTACCTCCGACGCGGGGTTTTTCACGATTTTCCGGATCACCGTGGATTAAAGCCCGACAGATCTGTACAAAGGGCGAACTTAATTGCCCCGTTCAATCTTGTGGTGATTAGACCGTGCGCATCTACTCGACAGGATGAACAACGCGAAGCTTCGAACGAGAGATCGTAATCTCGAACCATTTGATTAACCAAATTTCTCCCCCTAAAAATATTTTATTCAACTAGATTTTTAGGGTGGGAATATTCTGTGAAATTATTTCTCTCTCATCTGCGTGCGTTTGTTTCAACCTGTGTCTAAAAATCAAACACCGAGTCGAATATGAAACACCGATATGATCGCTAATCCGGTCTGTGAAAAATGTCGAAAAATAACAAGTGAAAAATTGTATAATTGTATGGAATAACAGCGTAATTATAAATTTTCACGCGTGATACCGGGAGTGCCGACATGAGCACCCACGTGAGATCCGTCCACGTGCATACGGGCGCGCACCGTCTAATCCTCGTTCTATGAATAATTCTAGATTAGACGGGAATTTATGATTCGTCTAGTACGCACGTCTGGATGTTACGGGTCGGTGAGCGGGCTTTCCGCACCAACGAGTTATCGCGATAGCCGTTCGCGAATCGACAAATCGCGTTACACGGTCTGAAGTCTGTATATCCAGCACGGAGAGGCTGCGTGGCGAGCTTTTAGAGAAGAGAACGGTACAGTCGTCTTCTGTTGCGCGATAAGAAGAACGCGTTGCCTTTCGTTATTTTATTATGGTCGTTGGTCGTCAAATGGGAAGAAATCAAATTCGACCAACAGATTTTTCGACTCGACCACGAGAGAGAAGCGGAGGTAACGGTGATTTTTCCCTCCGCTGCCTTCGTCCGACGTTTGCGGATTCCTTCTTTCGCCCGAGGAGGAGTGTCACGCTCGTCGAGCACAGACGATGGCGTTTGAATCCGAGCAAATGAAAATTGCAGCGAGCGGCACGATCTAATCTGAGACGAATCCACTCAAGACCGAGCGACAAATTACGGCTCATGTACTCACCTGATTAATGTGCCTCAATTGGTCAATGAGCGCGCTGATGTTCGTGTTGCCGTAGGAAGCCGGCGTCGACGACATCATCGTTATAGTGAATTCAGGATTGTACCGTTGAGCGGTCTGGCTGGAATCCACCACGGTTTTCGAATACCTGAAGTCACAGAGAGAAAACGCAACGGGAAAGTTAAAAAGAACACGTCGAGTGCACAGTGATCAATCGACAGAACGTTTTCATTTTGAAGGCAAACGCTCATAAACCAAGAATGAAACGACCAATATCTCGGTAAAAATATATAGAAAAATATATAACGATATACACACTCACACGCGTTATATGATGCATAATTAATGTGTTTTTACCGACAGAAATTAAGAAGAGTATATTAATATGCAACTGTGGGGAATGGGATTTAGAGTAACTGTAAAAATTGCGTCTACTGACATTCGGATGAAAAGTGTTACGTACACACGGACGTGCGATAATTTCACATTTTCGAGAATTAACGAAAAACTAAGGGATCACGCGCGTAGAGTGAAACGCGGCTCGTTTAAATACGACGGGAATCATACGGATGCATCGTATGAGATATTCATTTCCTTCGCGAGTTCGACGGCGAGCCTAGTTGCGTAAATCGAACGTTACTTCGATATCGTGCGTGGCTTCTATCTTCCCGTACGATAAGCTCGCCTCGCCTCGTCTCTCTACTCTCTCTCCCTCCGTGTGCTTTCCAATATGCTACCCAAACGAGCTTGTAAACCAAGCGGGCAGGCAAGCATACATTCGTTAGAATCTTAATGAGACGCAATGCTGGCCATATTCCGGCGTGGAGAGACTACGCAGTCGGCGACGTAGCGAAAATTTATAACGTATATTTTACTATAATATATCTTGCGTTATTGTTTCAGCATTTCGCGGAAGCGATTCCGTTTCCCGATTCTTCAAGATTCCGATAAACTGAGAGAAATGTCGCAACTGGAATCTGTCACATTTTATGACTAAATCAAAAGAAACGATCTGTTCACGCTCGTTGTCATTAGTCACAAATTGACTAATCACGATGCTGCAGAAAAGCCCATTCAAGACTTCGGAAAGCATCGATCGAAAAGCGATTCTTCGGGAATCCGCGAGTTGCTGGCTTCACAATCTCTCGGCGCTCGCGCGTTATTACGCGTTCGTGAGGAACGTGTTATCCGGCGAGATTCGCGACGCGGTTGAAAATTTCGCGAAACCGGGCTCGTGTATTTTCAGCGCTTCGGCGGCGGCTGCGAGCGATGCGATGTTTCGCGGAGACGAAGCGCAGAAACGCGACGCCGCGCGAGAGGTCGTCGGTTCCCTCTCTCTCGCTCGGGCCGTTCGTCCATCCGAGCGAGCGCGCTCGGTTATCTTCCTCGCGCTTCTATCTCGCGGGGTGCTGACCGACAAAAGAGACCAAATCGCACGCGGCTAGTTCGCGGAATACGCCGTCTTGATCGCCGCGCGATTAAGCGTCCGCGAATCAATGAACCGCGATATACGCGCGAGCCAATATATCCGCCGGAGGAGTGCGGCAACGGTACTTCACCCGCTGCGCGTCTTTCTACCGGGGAAGAGAGAGAAGACCGGTTTGTCGCGCTTCTTACGTTTTACTATTATATTTCGCGCTTGCACGCCACTGTGCGTAATAAATACCGTGTAATTACACCACGCGTTAACGCCGTCTGTTAACGCGGTACAGCGATTTATGAAGGTGGCCGCCTCCTGATCGACCGCCTCGCTCGTTTCAAATCATTTCAGTAATTTCCCCCGCGTCTATCCCTCGTTCGATTCTACTCAGAGGAGCTACCACTCACGGGAAAAATATTGCAAATAGGCGTTCCAAAGTATTATTCAGCATAGATAGCGAATTGAAATATCGCCAAAGCCGGCTTCTCGCTCGCGGTGCTCCTGAATGCCGGCCATTCACGAAACGACCTCCTTCGAGAGATCGTCCTTCTCGCCCCGCTCGTCCTGCCGCGTCCCTCGGTGTGTCGCCGGCGCAGTTTTCCCGCACCATCTTCCAGCGATTTTCCTCGCCAACTTTCCTCCGCCTTTCCGCTAAAGCGAGCCCCGCGGCGTCTCTGCTAGGTCATATTTTCTCTTTAAAGCGCGTTATACAGGGTGCGCCATGGAATTTTCTCTCTCTTTCGGTCGACCGATGCGTACTACAAATTAAGACGCGAAAGAGAAAGAGATTATTACTTACGACGCTTTTATTCGAAATTATTCTTTTCGAATTGCTGTTGTAACATTGGAAAAAGATCGCTGGCTGAAATTCAGATATACGCGTGAAAAGAGTACGCTTGTATACCGAGAGTGTGATGATAAAAATGTATAATAATAACAAAGCTCTACACATATATATTTCATTTGACACGAGAGTGTGTGTTTGCTGCTGCGTTACGTGCGAGTTTCATAGTGAAAAAACCGAAATAAAATTATTTTCGCGAAAATGCAATTTTCATTTTTAACGGTGCGTATAACCGTACGTGGTAACACTGCCAGCTACGGCCGGGCGAGTTAATTAAAATCCTCGGGTGGTGCGGTACACGGGGAGGGGGAAGAAACGTTATAAAATATAATGTACGGTGGGCGGAAGAGTATTCCCATTCTTCTTTCCGAGATAATCTTACACGTGAGAGAGCATTGCCGAAAAATTGCCGCGAGAGGCGGCGGTCTGAACGTATTAATACGAACAATAAATTTCGACGCGGAGAAAAGCTTTGTAGCGATACCTCGCGTAAATCGATTCCAGGATATGCGACTCATATACGCGTTTTTCACTCGTCGCGAATAATAAAACGAAGGCATAATGAGTAATCGTAATAATTATGTATCCACGACGTCGGGCTGGTTAAAAGAGAAACAGAAAGATAGTGGCGGTTCGCTCTTTTCCCCACCTGTCGCTTCTCTCTCCCTCTCTCCTTCCTCTTTCTCCTCGAATCCCTCTTCATCCCCAACATGAGAGCGCGATACGCTGCATCTTCGAGAGGCGGAGGAACGAAGGCGAGGTGAAACGAGCCGACAAAAACTGGTTTTACGCGATCGAACGTGAAAACTACCCAAAGCGAACGGTGCATTTCCACCTCGGAGTGTTTGATATAATTGCCGTTGGATTCGCACACACGTGTCTATGTGCGTGCGCGCGCAATCGACAAATAGATAAATCTTCGTCAAAGACTATGTTGTTTGCGCAAACAAGTTTTTTCCCCCCGGCGAAAATAGTTCCTTTATACGGTGCGCCGACGAATCGCCTACGCGATAAAAGGTTGAAACGATATTTACGCGTTTCGATGGTGTTCGGCTGGAAAAAAAAAATTAAATAAAGAAGAACTTTCGCGTTTTTTTTTTTTTCGAGAGCTCGATCGGATCGCCCGGCTTTTTATCCTCGTCTAAAAGAAGAACAAGAAGAGGAGGAACGCTCCCTGAAAATCGATCGAAGGATGAAGAGGAGAGACCGCGGGGGACACCCTTTATATCGCGTACGGATGGTTCCACAGCTGAAGCTGTATACGCGGATCGATCTCCAGCGTGGTCGAGATGGAATGTGCTCTGGGGCAGATTAATATTTCACTGCCTTGAAGCGCCGGAAAGGATGCCGCCATTATTCCGCGGATTCCGAAAGTACAAGGCGACACGGTCAACACGGTGCGCCGAAAAGCGCAACCGGACAAGACTTTTCGTCTTCCCGAACGACAGAGCGGGAAGAAGGACGATTTAGGAAAACAACTCGTACGTACGATAGTTCAGTTCAAAGTAGCACACGGCTGCGTCCTCGTCTCGCAGAAAACTGCGCGTTTAAGAGCAAAAGGTCCGATCGAAATAGAACCGTTGTCGAGAGGAGGACGTCCGATAAACGCGCGAGATAAATAGTCGTATCCGCGAATAGCCGGCACTCGCGTCGCTTTAACTAAGCTCATTTCGCGCAAGAAGCGCTCTCATAATTGGACGGATGAAGGACAAGAACTTCGCTCGATTATCGCGGCGGTTCGTTGGTCACATTGAAGCGCTAAACGCAACTAAATTAATCGCGGCTAGTCTCCTTAATGGCCGGATACAGCGCGTTCTCACGATTGTTAGGAGATACCGATCGTCGCTGAGGAGGCCCGGGAGAATGAAATTCGGTATAGGAACAAAAACCGGATATGTCACGGCGGAAAATGACCGTTATTGCGAGACGCGAAAAGTTCAACGGCCGTGCCTTATAACACATCGAAGAAAAAGCAAAAATAAAAAAAGGAGTGGGATTAATTAGAATTGTTAATCTTGCGTATCGTAGAGAGATTATTTACGACATTATCGCAGAGATAATGTATTTACAAGCTCGTAGCACGTCTCGCCGCGAGTTTCGTCGCAACCCGATTACGAATAAAGTTAGTGCAAAAGAAAAAAAAAAGAAGAGAAACGGATGCATTCCGAGTCGTTGTTTCATAACAAACTACAATATTTATCGCAGTCGCATCGATCGTGAGCTCGCGTCAGCGGTTGGCGGCATGACGAGACTTGGTCACATCGATTACGAGCTGAGCTCGTCGAGTCTGCATTCAAAGATTTCAGACGTGTTTAATAAAAACGAAGAGACATCGCGTTCCGCCCGCAAATCGTCCACGAAGACGACGAGTTAGGTTTATCTTCGGCTCACTTCTGAAGGAGGCCATTTTTATAGCTGCCCTCGCGACAAATGAGCCGAGCAGGCTCTCTATGAATGACTCGTTATTCACGTTGCTCTAGAACATTGATATTCCAGCAGATGCTATCGCCGTCCGGACGGTATCCATTGGCACGTCGCGAATGCATTATTTATATCGCCCGTGATTCGTTCCCATTCGTATCGGATAAACATATGCTAATACGTATCTCGTTCGCGTGACATCAACCGAGCGTGTCGATGAAGCTGCGAGCTAAATTAGAAACTATCAAGCCAATATGCGAGGACGCGTCGCAGCGCCGTGTGTGCGTTTATCTCGCTTTTATCTCTGTCCTTCACTTCTTCCAAGCCTCAAACGGAGAAAGAGAGAACGACGTCGTTGAAATTGTCTTTGAGATTAATACTCGCGATTATCTTCGGGCAGATCCGTAGATTAGAATCCTCTCGAAGATTGACTTCCGACGCGTCTGATCGACTCTTCTTTCCTTCCTTCTCCTCGACGCGGATTCGAACGATCGATCGTTTAGCGAGTTTAGTTTCTCGAAGGATGAATATTAATTACCGAGAGCTTCCGTTCTCAATACTTTTCCGCTGCGCGAGAGTTAACGTCTTCGCCGAAATAGCGTCTTTCTCCTCCGGCCGTCGCGATTCGTTCGTGCAACGTTCGATCGAGTGTATTTTTCTTCCGTCCTCTCGTGTATAAACGCTGCTTGACCTCCTGCACCGGCGTGTATAACGCACGCTCCAATTAATCCCGTTGTTTCGAGGCACCCGTCGCGCTTAGTTTGCCGGCGATCTCCTCCGCAGGACGAGATCGATGAATATGCGCCCGGCGCATCGGCGTCACCGACGTCGTCCAAGGTGTAGCCGCGCGACAGGAAACGACGGCTCGTCGATGATCTAATCATCGTCGGGAAGGGCGCTCTTCGGTCGGCCGTGCTAATGGCGCACGCTCGCGATCAACCTTCGAGAATGACGTCCCCGTAATAATACATGAGCGCTCACACGCGATTGCGGCCTGATCGTTTAGCGAAAGCACGAAAAAGGCGAGAGAGCGAGAAAGGAAGGAATCTCTGACGAAGCGGACGATTTCGACGCACCCGGTGTGCTGCTCGTCGTCGTATTCTCGACGATGCGTCTCCTCCCTCCCCCCTTTCTCTCTTATTCCGGTCATATCGGACATAGACGGTTTCAGTTCGCGACGATCGAATCGAACGGCGACGTAGGACGCCTCTCGCGACGCTCGAGATTCCCTCCGTGGATTAATCGGAGCCGCTTCGCTCGACGAAATTGCCGACGACGTGAACATTATATATCGTTGGCGATACGAGAAAAGTAGTAAAGTGGTACAAATGGAAAATCTCGCGTTCCCCGTAAGAGTCACGTGAAACTTGCCGTGAGCGCGATCCCTCCTCTCGTGCATTCTTATCGAATCCCTCGTGCTTTTATGTTTCGCTAAGTAGGCATAACACAAGCGCCTCGTTATCACCGGCGTTATCGTGTTATTTAACGAAATATATGCGTCGGGGATTCCACCGGTCGAGAGGTGCTTACGTTACGCTTTCGCACTCGGATAGACTTTCCGCGCGCACGAGGGGCCCGAATTCACTCCGTTGGTTTTAACCGCGCGATACAAACGCGACGACACATTCCCTCGCTCGTCTGTCGTACGGTCGCGGCTTCGGGGCTTTCAAAATCCGATCGGAGCTTATTAAAGCTTGAATCCGCCCGGCCGTCGATTAACGCGACGTTTTACACTCGGGCGCGTAGTATCGCGATGTAAAAAAAAAAAAAAAAAAACACAAAAGAGCATACGCACCATGGCTCGGAGGGAAGGTGCGGAAAGGGGGCGTCGAGACCCATCGTCAACGACGATGGAGCGGCGCGAGAAACGTCGAAAATTTCGGCGCGATCAGCTCGGACGAGAAATAGCAGGGCGGCGGATGATCTTGCGACATCGTGACCTCGTGGCTGAGATGTTTGGCTGCGTCGTTTCACCGACGCATCGGCCCGCATTACGGCACACATACGGCGACATCCAGGCCGCCTTCTTATCCGGCGGGCGCGTACGTGTGCACCCACACACACGCGCGTCTTCGGGCGACGCTACGGCGCCCGTTTGCTCTCGTTGCCAGACTCTTTGGCGGCTTGGCGTCCTACAGGCTATGCCGTTTCCCTCCTTGCCATCTCCGCCTCACCTCCTCATCTTCTTCTTTCTGCTACTCCTCCTCGTCGTCCTCGTTCTCCCCTCCCTTCGATTCGGCCGCTCGCGCGAATCCACGGCTCTTTTCCTTTCCGTGCCGTTTGCAATCTCGCACGACGTCCGAAAATGATTCCGCGCGACGATCAACATTTTTTCCCTTCTCGTTACCGAGCGCTATTTTCATATATTCTAATTGAGGATAAGCAGTCGATGAGAAGTGGCGCCATTGATCATTCAAAATGAATCTCCTCGCGATATCTATTTCCGCAAAATTCTACTTGCGTTCATTCTCCTCACGTCTCCCTTTGTCATCTTTCGGGATGACGACATCGAAGCGTTCGATTTCTCAATCAAGTAGCGTAGACGTTTATATTTCCACGCGACTCAGCGAGGTCGAGAAAGACAGTCGTCGATTGATCGGTCAATTAATCGATTTCAAGCAATTGCCGCCGCCCTCACCGGAGCAAGAGTACTGATCAAACTCATAATGTATCATACACACGCACAGGTTTATATTCTCCAAAAGAGAAGGGAGAAGAATAGACAAACACCCCGAAAGGCTGGGAACTTCGTCATTATCCCCTATCGTGGAATCGAATTACCTTGACGAGATAGCGCGCGCACGCCCGATCGAGGGGAGCCGAGACGGTTTCACTTTTCGCTCCGCGATCGAATCGCTTCCTCGCGCGGCTTCCTTGACGGATCGAATCTCATTTAGATTTCCACCGTGAGATACTCGTACGCCGAGCTGCGACGTGCGCGAGAGCTCTTCCGGTAAGCCCTTGGCACGCGAATGGCGCACGTGTTAGGTACGTGTGTGGGTGTGTGGTGACCGCGCGGAATTCGCGTCGGCTCGAGTAAACCTGGATTTCAGGAGATTTAACGACCACGTCCGCCGGGAATACGTTATCGGTAGTCTCCTCTTCGCGATGGCTGCTGCCGCCGCCGTGGCGGCGAGGATGCACCGTAAAATTGCATACACACCGGATTCCATCGCGTATCTTTTTCTCTCTTTCTCGCGCGATATTTACGCCGGACTCGTTTCACGTGGAATATAATAGAAGGATGTAAAGTATACGCGCGCTCGTGGAAAAATTGAAGAGCCGGGCGGCGGAAGGAAAGGCATTCTGTTAAAAACTTTACCGCGGATCGAGGTACGTGCGCGCGTGACGAGCTTCCGCGCAAAATACAACCACCCTCTTCCACCCTGGAAATTGTCGACTCGTCGATCGTTTCCGCGATCTCGCGCGCAGAACGTCGTGGGTTTAAGTTATTGTTCAACCGGGTGACTTTTACGCTGAATTATCGTCCTCTGAGGGATTTCATTTTCTAATTAAATTTCCCACCAAGTTACACACACACGTGCCCGCGCTCGAAACTTCGGACTTCACGTCCGTGGGAGAATTACCGCGTGTTAATTTTTCGAGTAATTTATAAAACGCTGAATCTAACGAGACTTGATTAAATTACTTGGGCGACTGTAAAACCCCGAGTAATCCTCCGGCGTTTGCGACCTCTTTTTTTAGCGTCCGGCATTCAACGTACGCAATTCGATTATCTTCCGAATTGTCTTCCACGCGATCAATTACGTACATTATCACCCAAGCGAGAACGGAACGTTCTCTCTCTGCTTTCAATATACTCTCATTTCACGGTCGAGTAGCGGCATCTCGAGTGACCGCGGACAATGCTTGATATAGGCGGAAGCGCACTTCACGAGTCGCTATCCGACTCCTCTATTCGTCGCCCCGATATGAGGCTAATTAAGCGGCGGGCGCGCTTAGACCGGCGGGATCAAATGACCCGTTATCGATCGACGGGAGAACCGATTATTTCGGCGCGAGGGACCGCTTCGAAACGGCGGCGACCTCGGGTCACGAGCGAAAGAGGAGACCGTTCGGTGTGAGGGCACCTTCAGAGAGAAGGCTACCCGGCCGTTGATTAATAAGGGTGCGAGAGAGAAGCTACCTTCGCGTTCCATTCTCCCTTTCTCTCTCTCTCTGCCGCGTTCTCGCGTCACGATCCGTTCCCACGAAAGCGCATTCCGCGTGGCTCGAATTTTGAGCGACGGCGGTTTCGATTAGCGCGAATCGCGCGCGTTTGTTATTAACCTTCGTCGCGGTCCCATTTATTCCACCGCGTCCGTTCGGCCACTCCTCCCTCCTCTCTCTCCTCCTCCTTCCGACGTCGTACAATTTTTCTCCGTCGCTGAACCGACGCTAATCTAAGGCGATAACGCAAATTAATAGTAATGTACCCGCCAATGTATGAAACGTACAATACAGAGAGAGACCGTCACTGATTGTTTAACGCGAATTATCACGTAAGATCCCATGGGGATTAAGTGCGGATCTCTCTTTGTCGTGAAGAATGAGATCCTTTAATTCGTCAAGTATATCTCGAGTTACCATACACGCACTATCACTGTACTTCACATACAGACGCCACTCTGTGTACTATTACTGTATGAAACAGACCGTAGAGATAGACTCTCAGCAGATCGCACGGTGCTTTTTTTACTTGGCATATTCATCGCTCAATAAAGTTATCATTGTGCAACGTTTATGTACACGAACCGCGGAAAATACAGGTCGTGGCAGCCACCGTCTCGACAGAACGGAGGTGGAACGAAGTGGGGAGAAAAACGAAAAAAGAAGGAAAGAAAAATACGGAAACAAACGTCTACTTACTCGCCGACGCGCTCGCCGTTCCAACATTGCTGCTCGGGGTAGTCCTCGCATATCGAGTCCGCCAATGTGCCGTAGAAAATGCGGGACCTGACGATGCTCGCCAGGAAGTTACCCAGCTGCATGTACAACTTTGTGTCCTGGCTGTTGCCTTCGCCGAGGTGCGCGAAGTTGTCGCCGCGGTGCGCGAGGCCGTGAGACGACGACGACGCAGCTGCGTGCGTCTTGCCGCCTGGGGACGCAGTTGATTTCGTGGCCGCAGCTGCATCCGAGGACGCCGGGCTCTTCTCTTCGCCCGATGCCGGCAACTCCGAACGACCGCACGCCGTCTTCACCTGAAACAAGGTTATTATTCACGTTCGGTTGTAGATTTCAGCGCGAGAAGGGTAAAGGCGTAATTATGTGAAAATCAAATGTGTCGCAAGGCATCGATAGTTATTTTCTTTTTCGTCAGCTTCCAGAGTGCATCGACGAGCCTCAACGAGAATCTTCCTTGTGGAATATCTAACTTCGCATTTTGAGAGACGCATCGGAGACTGGCCGAGACACCGTGTGCATCGCGGTGCTGCCGCACCTGGTTACATGTGGTAAACTCGATGCGTACGCAACAGGATCGTGCGTGCCATGGAGCCTTTGCCAAGTACGGTGCGCGCGCTCGACGGAAAGTGTTGCGCGTCGCCTGCGAAACTGACTCGTTCGAGGCGACGTCAATTTCTCGACGATTTAATAGGCGACGCGCCCCGACAGTTTTTGCACTCGACCGCGTCACGCCGTGTTTCGCCACGTTTACGCGTTAATCGTGACGCACACACGCGTAACACGTGTGACAGCGTCTCGACGAGAAAGAGGGGAGGGGGAGAACACGTCCGCTGCTCTCGAAACTGCGAAAGCGAACTTACGAGCCGTTCCTCTCGGCGATCGCAAAATACGATGTCATTTCGGGAAGAGTTTTCCTTCTGACGATCGCGTTACTTCTCCTTATTTTTTTTTCCCCACTTGAAATTCAACATTCGGGATGTTCAGTGTAGTTTTCAGACGCTAATAATGCGGGTCTCTTTATAACGCAATGCCCGCGCAACTTGTTCAGAGGCCGAAACGCGGCTTGCCAAAAGCGCAACTTTTCTCGTCTTCTTCCGCACGTCAGCCTCGCGCGTCGTGCGCAAGTGTGTGTGTGTGTGTGTGCGAATACGCGTGCGCGCCCGACGTAATCTAAGGTGCATTCACAACGATCACGTCCAGGAACTCGCGATATTTTAACCGGCTTAAGTCGCAGATTGCTATTTATGGATCGCGTAAAAGTTTACAAACGCCTGCGGAATTATCGAGCGTATTTCTCGAAGAACAAGCGCGATCCCGTCGGCGAAGGAGGCGTTGTGAGTTTCACTCGGCGCGGAATACCTAAGAGGAAAAATGGCCGTCATCGAGAGAAGCTCGATTGTGAGAATAAAAGCCCGTTCCGCACGAAGAGAAAGGGCTTTCCACCGCGGGGGAAACTAAACATTTCCCTCCATGAATATACGTACTCACGAAATGATTTCGAGACTCTCCCCGCTTCATCGGCGGATCAATCGGGGCGATAAACACGTGATTCTCATTCAACGCATTTAGATATTTGCGCGTCGCCTCTCACTCTCCATTATCAATTTCATCAATCGCATCGAGATAACGAACACCTAATTTACCACTCGTCAGTACGTATCGGCACATAAATCCGTTGCTGAGCTTTTAAATCTCCCTGCCTGCTCCCTCTTTCACGCCTTCCGACGTGAAACACGATACGACGCTTTAAATAAGAACTTTACCGCGCGACTCCGCGTGAGAAACTTCGTGTTTTCACCGTGGCGAAAGTCACTCTCCGACGGGGTTCGCGATTTCCGCCAGGTTGCGCGACACACCGAGATCCAACCCTTTCTTCCCCCCCCNCTTATCAATCCTCTTATCAATCGCGTCACCTTGCGCGCGCGCGTTCATACAACAGTCATTAAGCTTATCGTTGACATCTCCCGCGAGTCTCGACGCGAATTCCCGACGCCGCCTTTCTGTCTTAATTACTTTTTAACGCGGCCCATAAAAGGAGCCGGGGCCGCGGCGCGGTGCTTGTCGGACTCTTCGAGGCGGCATAATCGTAAAACCGGCCGGCGGAGCGTAATTAAGACGGCACGCGTGGGCGTTCGAACGTCGCTCTCTCGTCTCGTCGGTCTCGATCTCTCATCCCCCCCCCTCCTTCTCTTCTCCCACTCTGTCTCTTTCTTTCGGGACTCTTCCTCCCCTCTCCTCCCGATCTTCACTCCTCGAAACTATCCAAACGAACCGGACGTTTCCGACATACCTCAGGTGACCCTCGGAATGTTGCACACCTACTGAAACGACCCTAATTCACAGCACGGCTGTATTGTTCCGGTATGATGCGTCCCGCTGCGATCCCGCAAAGGATCGCAAATTAACGCTTTATGAAGAATAAAAGTTTTCCCCGATAAGACGTTAATTTTACGGCGAGAGATTTTCACAAAAGAGGGAACTCTTCAGGACTTTATGCGGCTGATGTTGGAGTGTGGGAAGGCATGTCTGTGCGGCTACCAGGGTTTTCGACTGTTCAACGTGATCCTCTTATATTTGTTTATAGAAACAGGAAAAATCGACGTCAGTCCTTTTCTAGTGAAGCAATTGACTGACGATTGAAGAATTAATAGTATGCGGCGGAAAACATGGAGTTTTACGTAGATCAAACAAACGCGGGACGAATTGGAGAGATGGTCTCGCAACGTAACGATGCGAAAAAAAAAAAGTAATGGTGAAAAACGTTCACGACAGAGTGATATAACCAATTTTGCAAAATCCCCTCGTAAAAATCCCCTAAAAGTCAATAAATTCCGAGGAACCCAGCCGCAAAAAGCGCTCGCGATGTAATCTCGTTCGTTGTAATCCTGTCGCATGAAGTATGACGTAATCGAGAAACAAGGATATGACCAAAAAGGGCAGATGCAAAGCGGCCGATAAGGGCGCGTTGCGAATAAATAGTGAGAGAGAGAGAGGGAAAGAAAGAAGCGAATTACAACAGGGACGAACGATGACACTATCGACGCGAATAAATCTCGCTCGTAAAACGCGCGCGCCCGCGGAATCTTATCGAGAGAAATTCGCGCGTCCCCATTCACCTACCTACACGCAAGCTTTACCCCCGGGCGGCTTTACCCTTGACCCGCTACGGTAAGTGGCGACAATGAGTTCCGTTTCTGACTCGTGGGACAAACGAGGCGGATTAGAAGATTAGGATGTTATCGCTTAACGCCCCCGCCGCTTTCGTTCGTTCTCGATCGCCCGCCCGTCCGCTCGTTCGCACGCACCGAATGTATCTCGGCGATCTAAGAATCCCTCGTTAAGAATAATCTTCGACACTGTTAGCCCTCCTCGAAGGATTTTCTTCGCGGACTACATGTTAAGGATCTCCGTTCTCGGTTGTCAATTAATTTCTACGCCTGAATAGAATCCGCTAGAAATTTGTTTGTCCTTGCGATACTTAGTTGCTGTTTGTCAGCTCGCTCCGCATAGCTAACTTTTACTATACGGTTTTGCCGTCTCCTCTGTGCGCTTATACATATCGAAATCGTGTGTTTTACGCAACCTCATTTTACCACCTGTCCGAATTCTCGATTCCCGCGCAATACTAGTCCCGTTAATGCGAGTCTGGATCATTATTACGAACATACCGCAGTTAAACTCGTCGTTCGCGAATGACTCCCAGTCGTTTCGATTTTCGCAAACCATATTATCGTATCGATTTCTAAGCCGATGTCGGTATCAAGCCGTGACTTCGTCATTATATCGCAACGTGCTTACGTGGCTTTATTACTGAATTTGTGATAGGACATGTAAATTATGTATCGATAAGTGTGATCTAGTGGCTATGGTTCGTCGTTCTTTTGTTGAAACGTTCCAAAACTACCGCGTTATCCCAATTCCCGGCTGCGTCAAGATTTTCGTTACCAAGACGAAAGATTTCGAAAAGTCTCTTTTCACGATAAGAACTCCGTTTCACGAATGTTTACAAACATTCGGGACGCTATGGCGCGCCAACTGGAGATTCCCATTTCGATTTGTCAGATTGTCTATCTCGATCGATGATATACTCGTCGATATCTGGGGGTTCTATATTGTAAAATTCAAATATATTTAAATTTAATTAACCATAGGATTTTCTAAACGGTTACTTCGAGAGTCGTTCCGTCGAACCTTCGTCTTGTACCAGCCGTTAGCTGTTTACGCTCAAATAACCTCAGCTAAACACCTCCGTTAAAGATTCCCTCGCTAAACGACGCTGGACGGTTTTACTTCGTTTGAGAATGTGTGTACTCCCGAGATCACGATCGCTCCTATACATTTATGATCGTTATGCGAAGAGCATAAGATTATGATTAATGATGTGTCGCTACATGGATTTGCCGACGATAACAAGCTGTTCGTGCAAATCACTTCCTGCATAATAATTTCAAATAATCGTCCGAAACTGACATTTAATTTAATCACGCGCCCGCGATAAGAGGAAATAAAAGTAACGCGTCAAACTCGATCGGGATGAAGTCCCTTAACGAGGATACGATGCGTCGCGTAACCGGCGACGAGGGCGGTAATTGCGGTATCGATACCGCCTCGCCTGGATATCGCCGATAAACTGTATCGATAACGGCCCACCCGAGGATGCTCGAACATGCCCGCGAAACCGAGCACGACGAGACGGGAGATCTCGTTTATCGCGATAAGACAGGGATCTTCTCTCTGCGAAAGGAGCAACCGCGTAATTGATATAGAGCGTGCGCGATTCAAGTGGTACGCGACAACTATTCCGCGGGAAAGAGATTACCGAGAGGGAAAGGCGTATCAGACAAAAGACGCGATATACATTACGCAGGCTAAGAGAAAGGGAGGAAGAGGAGAGATAGAGCGCGCGTTTTATATTCTTCGACATCAAATATTAAATGTCCCTTTGCAAGCAAGAGATCAGTGTCCCGAAGAAGAAAGGCCCACTTGATAATTCGCTGATTGATTTAATTTAATTGCTGCTCCTCGCGCTATGCGCGCACATGTACACGCGAAACTTAATTATACACGAAAGCAGGGTCGCTTCGTTAATCACCGCCGGCCCAGCCTTTCCGACTTAACAGCGTTTAATATTAAAGAGCCGTTCCGTTAAGGTGATTATATCTTTTTCTTTTTCGACCGACGAAAAAACTAATTTCGCAAGTTCGACGGCTTCCGAAGAATCTGAATTAAGATCGACTTCGGCGTACGCCGACTTAGTCGCAGCTTAATCCGCGATCGAAATTAGTTGCTCGTCTGT